GAAAATATAAAACAAAGCACGTGTGAAAAAGGGTATCAAATTTTTTAACAGGTTTGAAAAAGGGTAGGGAAAATCACTGATTTTGGTCTGAAAAAGGGTAAGGGTTTCAGGGAGCGTGCCACCCCCCCCCCCAACTTTTTTGGAAAGACCCCCCCCCCCCCCGGGCCTGGGAATAAAGTTTTTGTATACCATTTTTGAAAAAAAAGATACCCCTTTCGTATACCTTCTTTTGACAAATGGCACCCCTCTCACATACCTACATTTAAGATCTTTCCATCCCTTTCAACTGCTGTAACTGCACTTTCTTTAAAAGATGAATAAATCACTAACCAGAACGTTTTCTAGCCTCTTACACAGCTACAAAATGCATTCTGTTCAGTAGCACTTTTAGGCCCTTTGCAAACCGAAATGATTGATTTCCCTACCCTTTCATATACTTCAACTGGTGAAACCTCTACCCTTTAATATACCTAAAGTCTACAAAAAGTACCCGTTTCGGAGGACCCTCCCCCTGTAGGCCATTATAGGGAGTCCCCCCGGGGCATGGACAAACTCCTTGTTGTGTGACTCAGTCTGGTCATGTCTGGCCGTATCCAGTTAATGATTTCACTAAAGATAACTTATTTAATCTATTTAATCTACTGTTATGACAAAAAATAGTGAATATGCACTGTTCTTTTTTAAAAAACACGAAAGGCCTTGACCGACCTTGACCTTGCTTTTTTCTTTTCAGTCCAAATAAGGGAATGCCATCCTACGCCCATCCCACGCGAAAACGACGATTACAGTACCTTTTGTCACTGAGAACAGTCAAGATCAAACCACGGCTTTTATTTATTTAGCTATATTTTTGCTTTTCTTCTTTGTGCCCCCTGCTTGCCCCCTTGAATTTCAGAACAAACAAATAAAAGCTTTTTCCCATCATATTTTCACTGTTCGCGATCAATTCAATGGCCTTTGTTCTGAGATGACGCACCAAAACGGGATAAAATTATGCAAGAATTCCGGGTATTGTCAGAATGGCACATTAATTTTACTGTTTTTGTTTTCTGCTCAAGATTGATTAGACTTTGTAATGTGCCATTGCTTGGTTTGATTTCCGCTCCTGGTTCCACGCAAATGATTCTCATTTTATGCGGTATTTTTTAAAACAAAAATAATAACAACCAAAGCCACCAAGAGACAATGCGTTATTTAACACCACGTTCGTTTTGATCTGAATATTGTCGCAATAAATAATCCACAAGTGGGACATCGACCAAACCTTCATACAATTACTGACGATTGATTTCTTGCTTATCTTCTTGAGTGGCCCAACACAGTGTTTACACACAAATTAACTAAAATACAATTAAGCATGAAACTAAAACTCTTTACGATATATCGCCTAACCTGTTAGCTTGTATCGATTTGTAAGTTTCAAGCAACCGGAAGTGCCGTTTAAGGTAATTTTCCGCTTTCTTACCTTGATCTTCTGGTAGAATTAATCTTTTACAAATACTCCAGTCGAGTTTCTATCCAAATCCGGATGTTCCACGTTACGTAAAAGCTAAGAACTGCACGTCGACTAATGGTCGAGAAATGTATACCACTCTTGGACGGGACGGGACGGGACGTCTCACATGACAAACCGGTCTAGTGGGAATATGAACCATTGCGTCACGCATAGTGTTTGAAGCATGTTCCACTGTCCAGGAATGATAAGGCAAAAAGAATGAGACTGTGTGACATCACAAAAGATATGGTTTTTACAGGTAACCCCTAAAAATGTTTCACAATGAATCAGGTAAAATGTGACAGACGAGCAGAAGATCATGTGAGAGGGGTGGGGTTTGGTCTTTTTAAATTACCCCTCTCGGAGGATCTCGAAGTGAGGTTTTCCACCAACCTCGTCCCCAGGGCTTTTCCCTTTTTTTAAGGGAAAAGCCCTGGGGACTAGGTTGGTTTTCCACGGGATTGTTATCATTATCAGGGGCCGATTTATTAATCGCTGGCTGGCGTGGCTGCTTGGGCTCCATATTACCCATGATCCTTTTGCACCCGTGCTGTGTGGACAGGTACCGCGTTGGCCAGTTTCCAGAGTTTCCACTGGAACGATTCGAGGTAGACTGCAAAACAGTCGGGTTTTTCCTCAAAATCAGTAAAGAAATCGGTAAAGCGTGGCGTAAAAGTCTTACGCGCGCGAAGCGCGCGAGCCTCTGAAGCGCAGCTTAGATTGTATTCACAGCGAGTGTTATAATGGGCTCCTGGCGTTGTAGGTCTACCGTAACAGTGTCCGTCCGAGAGGGTTTGCACGTTCCGCTGCACTCTCAACAGTAGGCTGATTTAGCAACAGAACGGGAACGTCAGTTGGCGACGGCGCGCGCAAACCAAACAACTGGCTTGACCAATGGCAGAGCGGCAAATTGAGTACCGGAAGTCGTGTTTAGTCCTTTCCGCGCGCTTTCCCGTCGTCAACTGACGTTCCCGTCCTGTTGCTAAATCAGCCCAGTGTAAACGGAGACGAAAAAAACTAAAGCCCTTTCCTTACACCGTCACTCATACCAGTTATTACCCCAGTGGCTTTGCAGCCAGCCACCTAAGAAGAGAGACTGTAGGAAGCATTCAAAGAAAAAAAAAAAGAAAAAAGAAAGAAAAAAATTGGGATCAAAGCAACCAATATGCATGGGCGTGGCTCACGCATTATTTACTCTTTCCTGTTTTGCTCCTTTTCGTTTAGTTTCTTTAGTGCTTGAAACAACCTCATGCGATGCCTCAGTGCGAAGACTTATTGACGTACCGTCTGATCAACCCAAGTTCGGCGAACAAAAAATGTATAATGGGATGCCCCCTCTCTCGCGTTCGGATCATACGAATGGGTGGTTTGTGAGACAGCCATCGAAAATGTCAGAGCATGTAAAGCTACGAAAAAACGAGCAACAAAAAACTGCAACTTGTTTTGCGACATTGCTGCAAAAAACGAGTTGAATAGCGATGTTGCGCGTTTTACTACTCACATAAAACTTGTCTTGCAACAAATCAGGTTGTTAACAGGTTTAAACATGGGTGGTAAAACGCCAAACTCGTCCCCAGGGCTTTTCCCTTAAAAAATGTCCCGCCCCACCTATTTTTTAAGGGAAAAGCCCTGGGGACGAGGTTGGTAAAACGCGAAACATCGTTATTCAACTCGTTTTGCAGCAATGTTGCAAAAGAAGCTGCAGTTTTTTGTTGGGCGTCTTTCCGTCCCTTAAGACAGGCCACGGGAGGAAGTGATCTCACGCAGGGGAGGAAGGCAACTCAGCAAAGTTTTATAAGTGGACGAAGAGAGGGTGGCGCTTCATCTTATCCGCTAGTTTGGCGGCAAAGTCGAGGCTACGTTAGCAGCAGGTGGGCCTTTATCCCAGGAAACTCTCACTTTGGGCGACAGGACATCACTAAACACCCATTCCGCGGGCCCCCAGACGTAACAGACCACCCCTCCGGTGAGCTCCCGGGGGACACAACTGAACACACCTTCCATGGGCCCCCGAGGGACAAAACTAAACACCCATTCCGCGGGCCCTCCGACGTAACAGAACACCCCTTCGGTGAGCTCCCGGGAGACACAACTGGACACACCTTCCATGGGCCCCTGAGGGACAAAACTAAACATCCATTCCGCGGGCCCTCCGATGCAACAGAACACCCCTCCAGTGAGCTCCCGGGGGACACAACTGAACACACCTTCCATGGGCCCCTGAGGGACAAAACTAAACACCCCTTCGGCGGGCCACCGGGGGACGTAACTCAACACCAGAAGCCCATGACTACATAGGCTCCCGCTGAACACCTAATTTTTAAAGTCAAGAGAGGATAATTATACTTCCTCGAGGTGCTTTATTCTGCAACTTAAATACCCTAACCTACTGCGTTAGCGGTTTTTCCTGACTAAATTTCACTTCATTATTATAAAAATAGTTACCATGTTAACCCTAAAGGCTCTACCTTAGCTTTGTAAGCTGCTTTATTTTTTGGGCGCTCAAAAGGGACATCATGCACTTGTACATGAGAGCGAGCCTCGAGTAGAAGGAATGAAGGGAGCAACTGTCCACTCCGCCTTCTCAGCGCACGACGTTCCCTCACATTTCACGTTGATGCAATATTTTGTACACTATTTCAGCCACCCTATACAGTACGGTAGCATCATTTCTGGCATATAGGAGATTTTGGTATGACCTTTACAATATATACTAAGTATAAGAAGTTACAATGACGAAGAAAGGAACCTTATCACAGTGCTCTATCACAAAGCAAGACTTAAAAATAATCGGTGACAAGAGTTCACTCATGCACGTGAAGCGTGCGTTCTTTAGTTTCTCCTACGTAAAATAACTGAAATTATGCCAATGGTTAACATATTATTCCTTGATAGCTATGTTCTACGTTTTACGCTACCAAACATTTTACTAAAAGTTTCTATTGGGTACTGATCCAGCATAATGTTTGGAAATTTAATCTTTCACTTGTGAAAACAAAACAAAGCTATGTTTACAGCTACAGGGCTCAAATCACTCATTGGAAACCAAAGAAAAAACAACACAAGATCAAATTTCTTTTCTGAGTAGTAAGTATGGCAACCCCATAAAATTTCGTTCACAAATTTAGAGTTAGGTTAGTCAGTCAGCGTGGCAAATAATCTCACCCTAACTTTGTCCAAGGATCAATTTCACAACACTTTTACAGGACAGTGTAATTTTTAAGTGTAGAAATTGTTTTCACCCTCTAAAACAATGGCTACGCTAGTAAATCGCTCTTGGAAAGTTTTAATAAATTGACCCTAGGAGTAAAAGAAAAAAAGGTTCAAATGTACTATGCTTTAAACATAAAAACCGTCTTAAAATAGCCTCTCTCACAAGGGCTACAACAAAAATAAACAACAACAACAAAATATAACAAACACCAGTAATATCATTGCCAGCTGTAGAGATTATTTGCAGTGTTACTGCTATACTATAAAAGAAATAGAAAACTCTTTTTCCTAGTTTCTAGAAAGCTATGGTAATAAATTTACTAGCTGGGATTTTGTTGCTCAATATAGAACAGGGCTGCAAAAGGCAGCTGGACATGGTATTGTTTCAGGTTAAGGTTCCATAGTCCCATACCCCTTCCAACCTCATTCCCAGGGTCTCTCATCTTCCCACCCAAGCTCTCTCGCTTGGGCGGGAAGATGAGAGACCCTGGGAACGAGGTTGTACCCCTTCCCCTCTCTTAGAGTAATGTCATAGAAAGCGTGGGGCATTTAATAAATGGCTACAACCAGGATTTTATTGCCTTTTCGCCTGAACATTCTACTGGTGTGTGCAAGTCTCTAGAAATAGAGAACGCATTTTCTATTTCCATCTTTCCGCTTTCTATTACATAAACTGACTTTCATATTAATAATATTGCATTCTACAGTATTTTCAGTTGCTCTGACTTATTTTATCAGACCTTTGCTTAAATTCAAACACTTATATAATAATAATATGAGTGATTTGACTGTAGAGTACAAAATCTACAAAATATTACACTTCAGTGAAACATTACTATTAATAATAACTCCAAAAATATTCCAACACTATATTCAGTTTACATTGACTGATTCAAGCGTGAGCGAGTCTAACAACAATACCTTGCTGTGACACAAAAAGCCTGCATAACACACCTTATTTAGCCAGGCAAAAGCTGAGAGTCTAGTTGAGTACAAGGCAAGACATGAGCATGGAGCATCTTCAATTTCTGTGATCTGTTAAATAACACTTCTTATGCAGGCTCCTCTGTTTGTCTCTATTTATACCTCTATTTCTATAGTAAAATAATTATTGTTTTATCTGAAGATTCAGATTACAAGCATAAATTGAGTGTCACTTGACATACCTCAAACCTTCTAAAAACTCATTCATGAAAAATGCTAAATAATTTTGACCTTCCATATAATAGTTTCTCACAAAATAATGATCCCCGAGTAGACTTCATAAAAACTACTTCAGCTGACCTACGATCTTGTTAGCAGACTTTGGATGTTTCAACTACATTTCAAGTTGTTATGATCTGCTTTCGGGGTCTAAGCATTCAAGGAAACCTAGATGCAAGTTCCTGAGTAACATGACCTACTATTACACTAACGATATACACCAAGCAGTTTTTCCTTACAGAGGTTCAACGTAGGAGCCAGGAAAATGCCCAACTTTTCCTTGGAATCTCCCCTGGCACCATCCCTGGTCATCTTGGGAAGAGAGTTGAGTGAGCACATCTCCTTCTTTGAAGTTCAGCTCATCATCTTCAATACCTTGAAAGTCGTACAAAGCCCTGACTGGAATACCAGCATCTTCTACAGGTGGCGGCTCCCACTCATCCGTACCAGCTTGGTCACTGAAGTCATCATTTGATGTTGATGTGTAATTGTTGAATGGATTATGTTCAACACTACGAAAAAGAAATCAAGATGGTATTGACAAATACCTAGAGTGATACACTATTCTAACACAAGATCTCGATGTTACTCAGAATTTGCATTCTAATTTTATGTGCATTATATAACCTTTATTTTAAGAGGGTGACACCAATTACTATGAAAAGTATTCTCCCTAGTGGCCCTCTAAAAACAAAATTGATAATAATAAATTACAACAATCATGATAAAAAGCCTATTTACAAATAGTAATTATAACAATAAAAGATCTTACTATCCTTTCACTTACTGTTTACAAAAAACAAACTGGATGTTTAAATGAAAAGGATGTTATTCCGTCAGTGAGAAAGGCAGCTCAAAAGAAAAAATCCAATTACTCCCAAAAGGAGTCGAACAGACCTGGGATTTTTTCTTCCAAGCTACCTGTGTCACTGATGGGAAAAAAACTTTCTCATCAGTGTATTCTCCACGCTTAAAATTCACCGTCACATTTCTATCATGGATTTTTGTAGTTCTAACTTCCTTAATGCTGCCAATTGAACAGATTTTCCATCTACCAGGGGAATATATCTTTTTTACTGAGGTAAGTATGGTGGAGCAAAGTTGGATACCATACAAACTTGTTCTTTGTGGCTGCAATGGTTAAATATAGTTTTTTGACATCAAAGATCATATGGAATTCCTAGACATTTTCTCTGGATTGTGCTACCAACATGCCATATCAAGTATTGCAATGTAATAACAACAACTGAGACCTGTTAGATGCAGCCGCTGCTGGTACCCCACAATGGGGAGGTGAAAATAAGGTTCAATAGTATTATTTTTATGCCACCAAAATAATGTTCTACTAGGCCAATAAACCCACACCCACATAACGTCCAAAGGCCCAACAAAAGTTCTGAGCATTACCTCCTATGAATCAATTGCTGGTTTAAAAAAGCAGGAAGTCTCTGTTAAGTTGTGGTTCAATTTTGTTCTTGGTTTAAACTTATTTCCCTTTGTTTAAAACTCATTATCATATTTTATGAAAAAAAATTTAAACCACGGATAAAATTGAACCACAACATCTCCAAGTAACTTGCATGGAGTTTATTTTTGTAATAAATGAAAAATCATGCAGTTTGTTGTTTGACAAGAAAATGGCAACCCTAACTTACGCATTACGTCAAGTTCCCTAAGAAGATAGTGTGCATTTAAGTCTTTACACTGAAAAAGGATTTAAATGGCCAATACATTTCAATAAGTACAACCAAACATACGTTTCATTTTTGTGAGAGTAATCAGTATTGTCTTCAATGTGATTCTGTGTGCCAGGATATGCTGCTCCATGCCCATGACTTCGTGTTGAGGACCGTTTAAGTGGTATTTCATTGTACTCCTATAAGAACATCAAAACAACAAAAATGGAAATGAAGGGCCTAACTTACAGCAACAAAAATAATTTTTCACAGCCAGTGGAACATCACTGACAGTAAAAACTGCTTAATTAATATACCCATCAGAGGAGCTAGGGTGGTGCAGTGGTAGGAGCGCTCGCCTCCCACCAATGAGGTCCAGGTTCAAACCTGGCATTGACACCATAATTACGAAGGTTGAGTTTGTTGTTGGTTATCTTCTTTGCTCAGACTGGTTTTTCTCCAGGTATGCCAGTTTTTCCCAAATTCCAATTCGACAAGGAATGGTAGGTGATGAAGCACTTTGTGGATGTGCTACCTCTAAATCATTATTCATATATTCACTATAATTTCTCAGCATATCACCGAAGAATGCATCCTGGACTCCCTCTGATTTTGAGCATACAAGATTTTTGGGCCAAACTAAAAGCTCTTATCACACGAGCCTGTCATTAAAAAGCACAAAGTTTGTGGTTTCATAGTTCCAAAAATTATAATTAAGGAATGAAAAATAGGGTGGTTTTACTCAATAACCATTTGACCCTCGCCTGATAACTGTCTGCCTGCGAGTGCTTTTTACTGACTGACATAACCAAGTCTGACTGTGTAACATTGGCCTGTAAAGATGCTTTGCAGTCTAACTGCTGGAATTCTGTTAGCTGAAGATCACTAACTACCTCAGGTGTGACTGTCGTATCCATTATCTCACAATAAATTAACTCCGTATTGACCTCTCCGTTTCTAGTCATACCTACAATATCGCTGTCTTGTGTTTCCTCCAAATTATGTTTGACAGCTGTACGGAATTGATTTGATGTACAGGTAATGCCACTGTATATGAAATTTGAGACCTGTTTGGGACTTGCATGCTCTGCAGCTTTGATTTCCTTTGAGCTAGTTCCACTATCTGTCTGATCACTATTTGTAATATCTACAATTGTACAATAAACTGCCTCTGCGCCATTGCCATATGTCTCCTGCACAATATGAACATCAGAGGAAAGTGATCTATCTTGAGGCTCTCCTACATCATTCACAACCCTATCAGTTACACGTAATTCGCCATTTCTATTGTTTGACTCAATGCTACTAAATGACCCTCTCTGAATGCTGTGTTCTGAGTTTAAATTGATAAGATCAAATGAGTCTTTCTCTCTATCTTGGTTATGCGCCTCAAAATGAACACCTTCAGGTTCGTGGAGCGACCCCTCAATGCTAAGCACCTCAGTTGATACATTCCTTTTTATTTCCTTTTTTCTTTGAGATGTGAGATGTTTTTTGTATGTTTTTCTGTTTTGCAGCTCTTTAATGGCAAACTTTCCTTCCTACACAGGGCATAAAACAAGGATCACTCTAACAAGAATGATATACAACTATCCTCCGAAGGGGAGGTGAATAGTGGTGGATATACACCGAGACGCTGTTCACCAACCATGAGGGGGATAGTTGTTTTCGTATTTACCAAATGAGTTAGATAAAAATGAAAACAATAACTTTTTGTAAATTAAAAACGTCACTTAGTAGGAACTTTGTTTACAATTTACAAACATTTTGGGGGTTAATCGTCAAGTGAGTTTTACCACTTTTGTTGCAAATTCAGCATGAAAATAATTTTCCACCTACCAGTAAACACGAACAAGCCAAAGTGGTATTTGTAAGTACGAATGCTTCATTTATTGGTCAAGTTTCGCCTTTCGCAAATGTCTCGAAACGAGACGCCACCTTGGCTTCAGTCGTAAAACAGTGAATAGCCAAAGATATTCTGAGTTACGGGAGCCAATCAAAACGCGCAAAAATTGCTATTCACTGATTTCGTAAAATAATACTAATGAGGGTTATTTTTGTTTTGGCCAGAGTGAAAGCAAAAACTAACACTGTGTTCAATGACCACTGCTTATCTTGGGCTCTGTTGATAAGAATAGCTAACTGCATATATAGTGACAACGAACTGTCTGTCTAATACATAATAAAATAACATCAAAACACTAATATTAAAAAATGCTATGGGGCTATGCTATGCTTCCCTCCCTCCCATACCCAATGGTGGGAATATAAACAGTGGTTGTCACTTAATGAAGAATTTGCCACTACATGGGATGGCTGGGAAGTTGAAAAAACTGCAGTTTCACTTTCAATGGTAAGATGACTGAGTGGAGTCCTGTTGAGTCTGTAATCACATAGGGAGAGTCTGATTTTCATTTTATGAGTATGATTACAGACCAAATTAGACAAAATTAAGTTTTTTGTGAGTTTCAGCTCCATTAAATCCTATACCAATATTGTAAAACATTTTAGGAGGAGCACCCACAATGTGTTTTATTACTGCTTATGAGTAAGGGCTAAGGGAATTAGAATTAACCAAACTTCAGAAGAAAAAATTTTCCCAAAGAAATGCACACCAAAACACCACTTTGTATTGTCCAACTATAAAATAGGCAAAACAGTGCAAAAGAGTACGTTCAATACCTCAAAGACTGGCCAGTTTTGTGGCATGCCTGTTCCATGATTGCGTGACCACCAGTCCAAATCAGCCTGCATATCTGCTTTTTGAAAAGTCAAGCTCATGTTGACAAATACACCCAAAAACCTGAGGAACAAAAAAAAGACAGAAAAAGTAAGAATTAGCAGACTACTTTTTATTATTACATAGAAGAATATGTCGGGTAAGAAACCCAAGAAGCATGACATTCTTCCTTTGTTAGTAATAAAAAAAAATATTATTGTTGAGATTCAAACTATCTTTTTTGAAAAAAAAGGAGCGATTGAACATTTATAAGAGTTTTTCTCTAAAATTTAGATTCACTTAAGATTTTTTGCAAAATTTCACAGAAGGTTACGTCAGAGACCCACTGCATGACTTAAAAAACATAAAAGGCAGTGTGCATAGAAAGTTGTGGCTGACAGCCCGGGGCTAGTGGATTTGCAATTGGGCTAGTAAAATCTATCCTTAACTTGCCTGACAGGCAATTGAAGTTTTTTTGGGGGGGAATTCACATGAGAGAAGTACTGTAAAAGAATCAAAATTATTACCTTACTACTGTTTAAATTCCTAATTAATTATGATGATTGAAAGCTGACAAAGTGAAATCATTAAAATTATCCTGATACATATTACTGACGGAAACGTGACACTGACGGAAATGTTGTGACACTCATTTAAACCGGATGTGACTCTTTTAGTATCATATTAGTGTTATCCCTTTTTTTTTTATTGACATTTGAAATTGGAGTAGCTGAAAAAGAGAGTAGTGCAAAATCACCTTTTGTTGAGATCAGTCGGAGAGGAAATGTACGCGCGGATGGTGATTTAAATAAAAGAAGGATTTATGATTTAAACGAGTTATTTTGTGCCCCACAAGTTCGGTACATTACAATGAATTTATAATAAAGTAATTAATGAATAATAAACAATAAAATAATTAATGCACCCTACAACTACAACATTTTACAAAAACAAACACATTCACTGAGAGTCTGACTGTTGGAAGTGTGAGAGTTGGTTTACTTTATAGAACTTTGCACTTGTAAGCTGGTTGTCATGTCTTGAATTGGGCATCTAATCGCAAAATCATGCATCACATTTTGTGCATGTAACCTTCAAATATGTGTTTCAGTTGTATCTTGGTATGTGTGCGCGTACAACTTTATTTTGAGCTCGCGCATTATTTCTTTATTTATGTCATTGACATGTACATTTAGTTCGTTAATTAACGTCTTAATTTTACTTTGCGTTATTTTCCTGACTTATATGTGTTGTCCGTGACTGTGCTCAGATGGTGGGTGGCTCTTCCTAAAATGTTCTGCAGTTGGTATAGGATTTAATGGAGCCAAAACCAATTGTGGAATTGCACGCATTTTAGGCGTCTTACTGATGAACAGTTGCGACACGAAGATATATATTTTTTAGCAACTACTATATATAATTTGCAGTCTGTCCACTCTGAAATATGATAAATACAAAGACCAACAAAGTTTACATAGAAAATGATTCTGTGCTTTAGAAATACAAAAAGAAAGACAGTCAAATCCCATAAGTATGGACACCAGGAGGGAGGGGGGGGGGAGCTTATAAATGGGCTGCGTATTTTTAATAGGGTTGAGTTTAGAGAAAATGCAAAGGCTCCAAGGATGGCTTGGAAGTGACCATTAAAACCACAAATTTTGCTCAAGACCACAAACTAGTCAATTTTGTTTCACAATAGCGCCATTTATATGAGGAAAAATGAGATGCGTATTACATAAGACACGTCCTAAATAGGACACAAACTATCCCGTATAAACGGCACATTAAGACGCAACTTAGCTACGACGCCTCTTATCGAAGAACAGGTGTTAAGGGTTGGTCTTAGATAAGACGCATCTTAGGTAAATTTCATAGAAATGTGCCATTTACACGGGAGAGTTTGTGTCTTATTTAGGATGCGTCTTATGTAAGACGCATCTTATTTTTCCTCGAATAAATGGCCCTAATATCTTCACATGTGTTACATATTAACATGTTTTAGAACTTTAATAAAATTATTTGCAAACTTGCAACAAATTGAATATAATAGCATAAAACAGCTGGTTTCTGTACACATGCTTTTGCAAGCCCAAATGAAGGCAAAACATGATATGTTTTTTAAAAAACGCACAGTCTTTTTACCACGACATTAAAGTTAATTCAAGACAAATGCATGGAGAAAATGAAGCTATAAAAGTCACTTATTTCTTTCACTTCCTGTGTACAATAATTAACCAGGAAATACCAAAAGCAATACATATTCGCAGAAACAGTTAAAATTTTAGCAAATTGAAATGTCTACAAGACAACAAACTGTACACTATTTGTTCATGTACTTAATGGGCTTTAAAGACTTAAGCTTCTATTAATTTGCAACAGGCTATTTAAGCCTAATTCTACAACAATTTCATTAATTAATTTCGGTTTCCTAAAGAATTAATAAACAAAAAAGAAAAGTAATACTTACTCTGGGCTTTCCGAGATATCCAAACATTTGTGATACTGAGAAAGAACGTCTTTAAAAAACGTTAGTCTTGTGTCTTCATTCTCTTGACATCTTTCAAACTCTTGAATCATATCTCGCTCATATTGAGAATTATAAGCAGTAATTTCCTCGAGTCGAAGTTCATATTTTTCTCTACATTTCTCCATTTCTCGTTTCGCTTTTTCTGTAGCGTCCTGTAACTTTTTCAGTTTATCTGCAGGCTTGTCTGCGTCATGACCAGCTTCGGTTTCCAGCTTCGAAGCCTGGTCAGCGCTCCTTGAGGCGTTTTGGTAAGCTTTCTTTGCACGTTCAACTTTTGCTAAGCGTTTCGCCCACGGCTTTTGCGCTCTTGTAAAACCATCGTCAGCTTCTTTCGTCTCTTTCCACTGAAATATTCCTTTATGGTAATTTTCATTTTTCCACTTCTTTATGGACTCGTGGACTTCGTCGATTAGCTTATCTCGGCAGTGCATGTGAATTTCAGCCCGTGACTCAGCCTCCGTCACTGCCCCAAGCATGGCAGCCTCCATCGTTCCATACTCTGGACCGCTTTTTACGCATTCCTCCCATTTCTTAGACCAAGCTTTCAACTTAAACGCGTATTTGGCTTCAATATTCGCTCGTTCAACGACGAGCTTCATAAATTCGTCGCATAATTTCGCACCATCGTCGATCCGTTTGACTGTTCGTTTGAAATTGCCTACGTCCCAAAAGCTATCTGTTGAAGCGCTGTAGAGGTTCTCGTCCGAACCTCTAGGAGTTTCTCGCATGGACATAGCGTAGTTTAACTCCAAGAGTTTCTGTTAATAATATTTCAGCTCGAAAATAAAACTCTTTTTTGCATTTTCGATGTTTGGTAGTATTTTGAAGGTGTGGGGATCATGATTTCAGGTAGCCGCATGCGCGTGTTTGATGTTTTGTTTGCACGCTGGCTAGGAAACGCGGGCATTTTTTCGTTACATTCGATAATTTTTTGGTCAACTCAGAAGTTTCTGGCAATAAGAAAGTTTTATATTTAACCGGAGCACCAACAATGAGCAGCTAGCAACAACATTCTTTTGAGAAAAGGGCAAAGTAAAAATAACACGCATAATTAAAAAAAAGGGTTATCTGCTGTTTTTTTTTTTTACCGGGAGCCGAGTACAGTCGGCTCCTTTTTTTTACTTGTTTTGTTCTGCCTTTTCCGGGGACTTCCTGTAAATAGTCACGAAAGACCAAAGAGCTCTATCCTTGATTGATACTTATTTTTAACAGCTGTTTTTAAATATAAGTTTGTTAAAAGGTCATCTCACCCATCAAAGAGAATATTAAATAAAGATAACGTTTTTATTTTTCTTGGAAACAATGCATGAAGCCCGTGACAAATCCGAAAACAAATAACAAAAGAGAAGGTTTTTTCTTCAAATTCTACCAAAACAATTAATTTTGACCTCATTTAGCGGAAGAATATTAACCTCAAGTTTGTGAAGTTTTATACACGAATTTTGGTTGTAAAATCTGTAAAATACAGACTGGTGACATGACACGAGCTACATTGCAGTTTAAAAATCTGCCCTTGTGATATTTGATAACTCCCTAAAGGGATAATGCTTGAAGAGATCAAAGTGACCACAAATACTTTTGAAAATTCTTACAGTTTTCTTTGTGTCCTTCGTGATGACCCGGACAAAAAACATTCAGGCTTACCACAGTCTATGAAAATATGTTATTTGAGATATCTACTGCTTGTTCGGTGCAGGATCACTGAAAATTGCATTATGATTTATCAAAATTCACCCAGAAGTGATTGCACATCCGGCTTGGGTCAACCAACGTAAAGTGATAACAAATGTACTTCGTTACGTGGGCATGTCAAGCGAAGTGTGAAATATATCACGCTTTAACGTCACATAACTCGGCCCGTTTGATCCGCCTGCTGATGGAGAATTCGCCGAAACGCTACAGTCTCGATAAAAAAGGCCAAGAAAGCCATTAAAAGAAAAATCCGGCTGCAGCTGATGATGAATATTTTCCATAGCAAGCCTTCCTGTTTCTAGCTATGACATGTGACAAGTTTTTGTAGACCACTGCCATTCACACAATTAACAAGCGCGTCACACCCCGGTTTCAAAGCGAGGCTAGTCTCTTCCCGAGGTTTCAAAAATTTGATTGACTGCTATCCCAATATGGCCACCTAGACGCTAAAATCGTCCATTTTCAAGACCTTTGTACTTCGAATTCGCACCCAATAAGCAAAAAGTAGTCGTTCAAGGATTTGTCTTTTGATTTGTTCGAATAAGAAACGGATAAGTTTGGTCGAAAGGGCTTTAGATTATCGCGTGACGTTGTCCTGCTTTCTGCGTGTTTATACTTTGGATGGTTTGATATGCGATATCTTGTGCAAAAATGAATAGCGAAGCTAATGACAGTACGGATGCAACAGTGGGTATTGAGAACTCTGAGACCGTAGAATCCATCGCAGAAACTTCAGGGGAGAGCCGTACGGATAGAATTCGTAGGCTGAATAGAGAAAGACAGAGACGAAGGCGCGAAAAACTGAGGATGTCACGCCAGAGTGAAGCGCCATCGACAACCAGTAACGACGTGGACCCGAGCAACGATGTTGACTTGCTGTCTGAGGGTTGTGCGATCGTAGAGGTGACGCTACCGCTAAAAGTCGAGACAGAAGTTCCAGAAGAAACGGAGGAGAAGCCGACTCCAAAGACTACGAGGCCGAAAAGATCAACAAGAACACGGCAAAAAATATCAAGGCGAGAAGCGACCGCGGAGCAAACTACTTCGGACACAGTGTCTTCGGCAAACAACGCCATTTCACCACCATGTCACGAAAATAACTCGAAATATGATGGCGCTTCAGAAGAAAGCACAGTCCTTGTCGTCGCGAGCGAAGTAGAAGTGGTTGATGAAAAGCCTCAAGAAAACGGAACGGAGGAACTTGCTGAAACTCCAGAAAGTAAAGCAGACGGCAAAAGAAGACGTCTACGTGAGTCAACGAAGAGACAAACAGACAAATCGCCTGAAGACGTCGCGACAAAGCGAGTTGTTAGAGAGCGTGAAAAAAAGAAAATGCATGATTTGCCCGATGAGGTCACGGCCAGACGTGAGAAACAACGCGAGTTAAAAAGGAAACAGAAAGAGCGAATGAGCAATGAGCAGATTGAGGCGCTGAGAGCGAGATATCGTGAATGGCGGCGAAAACGAAAGGAAACCATGACGAGCGAACAACTGGAGGTAATTCGGAAAGGAAATCGGGAAAGGCAACGAAGACGGCGTGAGCGATTAGGTATCAGAAAGCGGTCAACAACACCACAGACGAAAGGGGCTAGCGAAGCAGTGATACAAGGCATTAAGAACAAGCAAGCACAGATTATTAAACCGCTGCAATCGAATCTAACTCCCGAAGCAAGCCTTGTAGCAGCCGTAAACCAGGTCGCTTCGCTGAACAGCGTCGAAGCAGCATCGGCAGCCGCCTCTTTGATGCCTAATCCCTCTCGAATTGAGGGCCCTGTCGCTGTCACAGTGGAAGTGAATCCAGGGGCCCCTGGAATGACACCTAATGTTGCCCAAAATACACAGACCGTCGTAGGACAGCCGCCTTCTTCAGCCGGACAGATTATAAGTCTTCCTGTCACATCAGCAAATGTAACACAAGGTTCGTTGCCTCCCGGAATGCCCATGCTTGGCCCTCAAGGAACTATTCTACAAGGTCTGCCACCTGGATCGGGAACTCTTTACAGCATGTCAATGCCAGGAATTCAGGGGACATTGTTGTCTGGAGTGCCTGTTACTGCTGGACAAGCTGCAGTGCAAGGAAACAATGTTGCTGGAATGCCTTTCACAGGAATGCAAGGTCTTGTGCCGGGGATGCCTGCTCAGGGTGCATTTCTGCCAGCATCACAGGCTGGAGTCCTTCCGGGAATGCAGACATTTAGCAGTATGGCGCCAACCATGACCAAAGATGGGCAGATCTTACACAGCATCTCCACGCTTCTTCCTATAGCTCCAATGCAGGGCATTCAAGGAACAGGCCAAAGTGTGGCCTTTCTTGCACCCATGCCTATTGCTGGTCCCACTGGTCAGGTGCAAGCCTTTCAGGACGTGAGAGGAGCAGTAGCTACACCAATCAAGGCCCAAAGTCCTGGAACAGGAACAATGGTTGCTTCTGTACCAATAGCAGAGAGTGTCACAGCAGAAACAGTTGCTGTTGTAGCTCCAGGAGATGGAAGTGATACAAGTGGGCAAGATTCCAAAGTAAAAACTGCTGAACAACCCAAACCCAGAGGAAGGAGAGGTCGTAAAAGAACCACTTCTGCTGCTGAGATGCTAGCTAACCTGAGCAACCTACCTCCAATGAGCACTCCTATGTCCTCAATGCTATCTGCCCTGGCTTCCCAGGTCAGAGAGAATTCACATTCTTCTGTAGTGACCGTAGAAAAAGACAGTGAGCCACCAGCCAAGAGAGCTGCAGGTGATGCTTCCCAGGTCGCAGCAGTGAAAAGAGCGCCCCCTCAAAATTTGAGTCAGTTAGCAGTCATGGCTGGAAATGTACCCTCTACCGGGCCCAACACAGTTACCTATACAGAGAGTAGTTTTCCTGTTTCAAATTCTGGTGCTAAAATTCCTCACATGAGTACATTTCTCAATCCCATGGGTGGTGGTCAGATTCCGAGTATGGGTGTACCATTTGCCAGGCCTGTGAATACCTTTCCTCCTGGGGTACAGGCCATGCCCGGTCAGTTCTTTGCACCAAAAGTGTCAGTTGGTGTTGCAACAGAGGAGATCAGTAAAACAACAGTAGGCACCAACACTGAAAGCAACAACCATGTGGAAAACAATGGGATTTACCAATCAGCTGCAATGTCATCCATAGGTACTATGACTGACTCATTGTACAAAGTTTCTGTCGGGACTTTGACAGGACAGAACAATGACCAAGCACTCGATGGCAACACAAATTGTAACACTGAGACTGTCCTAGGAGACAGTTTAACTGTAGTTCAAGTTGATGTCATTGCACCCAAGGAAACTACAACTGTGGTCCACCCACAAGAAATCAGTCCAGAGGAAATATTGCAAGAGGCCTTAAACCCGGAGCAGATTGAACCAGTTGTTCAACCACTCGATGGCAACACAAATTGTAACACTGAGACTGTCCTTGAAGACAGTTTAACTGTAGTTGAAGTTGATGTCAGTGCACCCAAGGAAACTACAACTGTGGTCCACCCACAAAACATCAGTCCAGAGGAAATATTGCAAGAGGCCTTAAACCCAGAGCAGATTGAACCAGTGGTTGTTATACCAGAGGATGTAGTTGAAGAAGTGGTAGAAGTAGCTGAAGTAGCAAAGATCACGCCCATTGGAGGTGCTATGTAAACATGGGGATGCAATCAGGACAAGCTTGATGGTAAATAATATTACTGTGATTATTCTGGACTTAGTAGAGGTAATTTTAGGTCAAGTTTAAAGCCTAGAACATGACAATGATTCCTCCTTTGTATCAAGAGAACCATAAGGCCCAGGTAAAAGATTAAACTTCAAATGCTATGAACTTAACTCTAACAAGCAAAATTTATTGTTCTCTCTCATTAGTATTAGGTTCATCAAATGTTACAGTACTACTCAAAAGTATGTTGACAATCACTTGCGCCTTGATTCTCGAATCTCGAAACTTTCAAGAATCGAGTCTCAAGTATTGAGATTCAATTCTTGAGTTTCGAGAGTTGAGTCAAGAAATATGAGGACTTTGTGGCCTGATTGATTTCTCGAGGATCAAATTCACCAAACAGACCACACTCTGGTTTAAAAGATTGTGAAGTACACACTGCAGACTGCCACAAACCACTTTTGTAAGCCTCGCTTTCATTCCTGTCCCTGGAAAAATTTTCATTTTACGGTATCTGAAGAGGGAAATTTTGTGCAATTTAAGGGCCGAGTTAAAGAATTAGAGTCATGGGAGTGGCACTTTTATTAACTTAAATTTGCTTTATTAGAAAATTGTTTTGTGTGTGTAGCCAGTCCTTCTGTGGCAACTACATGGTGACTTTTGGCAGCTGCCAGAGCTTCTGGAGAACGCACACAGTGCTGTTTATTGTGGTGTAAAAGGATTTGTTATGACAAGTCCACAGATGAAATCCAACAGTAGGGCCATTTATACGAGGAAAAATTAGACGCGAACTTTCCGTATAAACAGCACATTTCGTCTAAAATAAGTTGCGTCTTAGTTAAGTCGCGTCTTATTGTAGACGAAATGTGCTGTTTTTACGGAAAGTTCGCATCTTATTTAGGACGCGTCTTATGTAAGACGTGCCTTATTTTTCCTCGTATATATTAATGGCCCTAGTGTATCTGTTGCAGGCCAAAATTATTAATCAGGTTAAAATTTTTTAGCTTCTAAAGGTTGATTCTCAATTTCCTTTGTCTCTTAACAAAGAAAATTGATAATCAACCGAGATCAAAAAATCTTGACGTGAATTTAATTTTGACCTGTAACATATCCACTGAAGTGAAACTTATTACTTGAGCTTGTGTAGCACTGAGAGTCGTAATCTGCAAGTGGTATTTAGTCCACAAAAGGGGTCATGGTCCCAAGCGTTCCTAGCAGAGACTGAGGAAACTGGGGATAAAAGTGGTAAACTTTCATAATATGGAAATGAGACTGGTAACAAGTATGCTGTTTATTTTTGGCAATGATGTAATTTTTGTGTGTTTATATGGGCATACTCAGTCAATGCAGAAACAAATCCCCGAGAACGATTTAAGAAGTAAATACCCCGAAGAGTACTTGAAAGTTGATAAAAAAGGACTGTGAAAAACTTATAGCAAGGAAATACTGTTTCGTGTAGGAAGCCACTTTGTTGCATAGGTAAAGAGTTCGAAAGCAAGTGAATTTAAATTTATGTGAATCAAGAATATTTCTGAAATATTTGAAGCAATTCCTGGCAAATTCAATTTGTTATATGTATTTAATTAATAGATAGTGGCATTGCACTTTATAAATACTTGGAATATCAATGACTTAACTATTTGTCACATATGTGTCATGCAGCTTTGTACTGACTGTCAAGCACTCTGCTTGCAGCACTTCATTTCCAATGGAAAGTTCTAGTCTATAAATTGTGAACTAGTCTATTTAGTTTTGTAGTATTTGGAGAAATGTGCTTTTTTTTCATACTGAAGTGTTCATTGATGTTTCCTTGGTGTCATAATGTAGATTGGCAAAGTCTCTGAGCCTCATATTGCCTTTGGAGATTCGTTGAAATTCATAAAAATTTAAACAATCTTATAGTTTTTATTGAGGCTTACCCATATTATAATATTAATGGTTAGCAAATGGCACAAGTTCAGGTACCCAATTGTAATGTTATAATCTTTTTCCAATTTTTAAAACAGAAGGTATGCAAAGTTTCTGACTGTTGTATTTACCAAAGGCAGTCAATGGTTACTGTGTAACGTGACTAGCTAGAAGTTTTTTGTCCTTCCCCACACAGACCCTATAGCTTCCATGCCTGCACAGACTTCTGAAGAATAAACTGCTTCCCATTTTTTATCTTATCTCCAAGCAAGGTTGAGTCAATGCTTTTAGAACGTCGTGTTGAAGCTATTTATAGTTTCCTGTGATACTGTTGCTGAATTCTGCTGAAGAGTACTTTTACTTTGTGTTACTTGTGTTACTTTTCCTACATGTATCATTAAATGCGAAATGTGATTGGCTTAGAAAGGGTGGTTATTTTTTGCAGCATTTGTTCACCACTTGTAAGATGCAAAATGAACGACTTAATTATGGTTTTCAAGGAATAGAACAAGGGAATGTTTGTTTCTTACATTTTCTGTTTCTTTGTGCATTGGTTTTCAGATTTTCTGTTTCATGAGGACAAAGACAAGCAAAAGACATTGAGAAGTATCTACATGAGGTCCCTATTTTAAAACTCTTTGAACTTAAAAATTTATTTAATTAGCATAAAAAGAGGAGTACAGTTGACTCTCCTAGGATGGGCAATTTTGCTACTGCATTAAAAAAAAATGTTCCTATTCAAGGGGGTGTCTCTCTGTCAGCTGTCCACCTCAAAGAGAGTGAAAAAAAGGACATTAATTAAAATAAAATAAAATGACTGAAAAAAAAGGAGAGGTCAACTTGAAGTGTCCTTTTTGGGAGTTTTCTTCCCTACAAAGTTGTCCATCTTTTACTTTAAGAGGTGTCAGTCCACTTTAAAGAAGAGGCCAACTTGAGGTGTCCGTCTGGCAGAGATGCCTTTTATAGAGGGAGTTGACTGTAATATGTGGCTGGAACCACCACTAAGTGGACCGTGCTTTTTTTAAAGGAATGTCGCCCACTGTGGTGTCTGTGAAAGTTACAAAAAAACCTTTGACAAGGTACCTTGATTTTAAAATCTTCTCTGTGTAAAGGTGATGTTACATGAGACTATTCGCAACGACGATTTTTAGCGCAACATTGTTCCAAAATTGCATCGCTGTGTTGCGCTTAAAATCGTCATTGCAAATCCTTCTGTGTAACGTCAGCTTAAGAAACAAAGGGTCCTCATTACAATTCATTCCCTATCAAGTTATACAGTAGCACATCATATTCTTTATACTATACATATATATTATATATATATAGCACACAAATTATTAGAGTTAATTATTAGACTTCTTCTGAATCTATGCTGCCTTGTGACTCCAGTTTATCCATTAAATAATTTTATTTAGAGACAGAAGTTTATTGGCATTGGCTCTCAGAAAGGTTGATAAGAGTAGTTTTGTAGTAAAATGACGGCATGTCACAATGACTTGGTTTATTGGTTTAAGGGAATTTTTGTATATTTTATCTGTTTATGGTAAGCTGGTATGCAGTAATTTTTTAATATACAGTACATGTGAGAAAATTTAGACTGGTGTGAAAATCTTAATGTTGAATTATCGCTTAAAGATGAGTGATGTTTTGAAAATATCGTACTTAGACGTAAAGTTTGATTTTTCATAGTAGGTGTTATAATACCTTTTTAAGTGCATGGTGGACTATAACTACTCCTTCATTTCCCATAGAGATAGTTGTATGCCCTTTAGCTTAGAGACTGCTTCTTTTATGATTTAAGTGAGTCAGTGGGTCATGGGTCACTGAAAATAGTGTTTAGGGTTAAGCAATGATGATAGTGATTGGGCGGGGTTAAGCACTGGCAATAACAATTGGGGGTTACCGGTAAGTACTGAAATAGTGATTAGGGTTGAGCACTGACCTGAAGTGGTTATATCTACTTTGGCAAATACGAGAAATTCAAACTTTTGACTCATGATTCATTGACTCATTTGCTCTTAATTCTCTTCATCTTACATCAAAAGGTGATTTTTTTAGCTTGTTGAGGTGTTCACTTGTTGTACCATAAAAAGAAGTGAAGAATTACTCATAGTCTAATGTGTAAAAGAAAAAAACGAAGGCTTCTAGGTTTTATTTTCGTACAGGCAAAGCCACATATAGATTGATATTATTGTTATTCCGCAAGGAAAACCAGGTAATTTGCATGGTTATATTGTAATACAGCAGTATTAGGTATTTAGAACTTACAGAGGACAATTGCACTGAATCTGATTTAAGCATGACAGGAAAAAACGAACTGAAACCAGTTTTGGAATGTTTGCCATGCTGTGGCCAGTCACACAAGAGAATGTTTCAGTTCTGTTTAGTGCTTTGCATTTTAATAAGTAAAAACATGCATTTCTTTGGTCATGACCAGCATTTCAGATAATTTTTGGTGCTTCCATTTTCCTGTTCACCTTTTAACGTATAGTTTTAGTTGCGCTAAGCTATTCAACAGCATTCATTTAGTTTTAGACATAATTGGTGGACATTTTGACCAGATTGCTTGTCTTGACACTTAAAAGATGTCTTTGAACAAAAAAGAAGTGCTTTAACCTTAACCAGAATCAAAACATAGTGAAACCAATGTAATTTATTGAAACATGATGAGACGTAACACAAGTAGGCCAGACATGTAACATTAATATTTTCTAACAGGTAACTTAAGGGTGCATTCAATGAACATTTTTCAATGGAAAAGTGGTATACAGTGTATTACTTTCTGATGACCCAGAGCAGCTCTTATGTCCCAAGACAGTAGCATAATAATAATTTCCTGAATGGTGTTGTAATCCATTTCAAAGTTAACATTAATTTTACATTTTAGAAAAGTGATAAGGAAAAAAATCTCACCTTAATTGTAACAGTATTGGTAATGGTTTTGATGTCTCAGTTTTTCATGAGGTCATTTCTTTTTTAACCTCTAAGGGTGGTGAATGGTGAACTTGCATGGAAACATTTTTATCTAAACTTGAAATTTCAGAATATTTCTGATGAACCACCGACAGTAAAACCTGCATTAAGTTGAGACCAATGTGTCAGGAATTTACTCGAAAATACATGTAAGTATGTGTAAGGGCCAGGAAGGGCAGAAATTACAGGCAGTTTGTTAGAAGTTTAAAATGGTGAGCAGAAAAGTTGGATCTGTGCCCCTTGGGTCTGCTTAAATTATACAGCTGAACACTTTTTTAGTATTAAGCTTTTTTCTTTTCTTTTTTTTTTTTTTGATTTTCAAATACTTTGCTGCAAGGTCTCAGATTTTGATAGAAAGTCTTGGTGTCTCAGCAAGTCTTATGGTTTTCCATTCACCTACCTTAGCTCTGTAAGCTGTCTCTATTACAGGGTTTGTACAGAGTCTTGAATTCTTGAAAAAGTCTTGAAATTTGCTCCGCAGTTTTCCAGAACTATAAAAGTCTGAAAAATGGAGATAAAGTCTGGAAAAACGGTAAAAAATCTTGACGTTTTTTTTTCAAAGCTACAACAAGTGCTTTTAGAAGTGAATTTCTTTTTCAATTTGGTCAAATCTTATTCAATCTCGCCCGTACATTTGTAGCACACCATGAAAAAATCTTTGTTCCTGCGTTTATTAAGGTCTCTATTGATCACCCAATTTGATAACCTTGAGTCTGGAAAAAGAAATTCTTGTTTTGGAAAAAGTCTGGAAAAAGCCTTGAATTTTGGATCCAAAAATCTGAATGAACCCTGTTACTAACAGAACTGGACTAAGACTGTTATTGAATGCACCTAAAGAGTATAGACTTGTATTTGTCATTTGATGGACTGTTGGCCCCTTGTGTTGACAACTGGTTTGTTTATATGGTACAACTATATGTGATTATTTTAAAACACAGTTAATGATTTAAGTAAACAAAACTTTAAAAACAGCTTGTTGTCTTCTTTGTGAAGGGGGTATATTTTGCAAGTTGTGTTATGCTATTTGTTCATCGCCATTATGTGACAGGAACGCATGATGCCATGTCCACCATTTTGAAATGGCAGCCATGTTGCTGCCCCAAACAAATGTGTAAAGACTTTGTGTTACAAATAAACTTGCATAGCTGGAGGCCATGTGAGTGAAAAGGCTCTTTTTAGGGTCATCAGGGAGGGAAGTGAAATAGCTTCCAGGAGAATTTCCCCCCCTAAAAAGGGCACAAGTGCTTGTATTATCTTTTAGGGGGTAAAGTTTGGCAATATAAACAGACAATAACAATACCATAATTTGCAGTCATCTAGATAGCTTTTTGGGTATAAATCAAACAATGACAATGCTGTCAACCTGTCTTTTGAGTAGAAGGCCCATTGTAGGTATCTCTAGGGTGAGCCACCCTCCCCCCCCCCGACCCCTTCCCCACAAAAAAAAAAAAAACAACCCCAAAAAGGTTTGAAGAATACACCCACCACCAACCCCAAAAAACCAAAGCCATTTTGAAACCCCACCCGTGGTTTCCCCGCAACATTCAATCCCCACCAAAATTCCGTCCCGATGATGCACACCCCCCCACAGAAAGGGGTAAAGTGCGTGCTATTGATTGAACAGGATTTTCGTGTGTGCTCTTCCAATCAAAAAAAAGAAAATAACAATACCATAATTTGCAGTCATTTAGATAGCTTTTTGGGTAAAAATCAAACAATGACAATGCTGTCAACCTGTCTTTTGAGTAGAAGGCCCATTGTAGGTATCTCTAGGGTGAGCCCCCCCCCCCCCCCCCGCCCCCTTCCCCACAAAAAAAAAAAAAACAACTCTAAAAAGGTTTGAAGAGTACACCCACTACTAGCCTGAGAAAACAGATGACATTTTGCAACGCCACCAGTGGTTTCCCCGCAACATTAAGTCCCCACAGAAATTCCGTACTGATGATGCATCACTACCCAGAGTAGTGGGTATAGTGCTTCTGATTGATTGAAGCAGATTTCCCACGCGGCACGACCAATCTGCAGCACTATCCAGATCTGGGTTGTGATGTGCCATCAGTATGGAATTTCTGCACTCATTTCTCAGACCCTATTTCACGGGGAAGCCACTGGTGGTGTTGCGAAATGTCGTCTGTTTTCTCAGGCTAACCCACTGTTTTTTTGGGAGGTCATTCTCCTCCTGCAATAATTTTAACCACCATTTTTTTCATAATCCTAATCTGTCAAATGCACAGATTGCTGTCCATCAGATAGATAAAGGGGCCAAACAGGTGCAATACAAATTCACCTCTCCACCCGTGCACTGAACAAGGGACACCTCTATAAGGACACCTACGGCTGGTCCCTGCCTTTCTTTAGTCCCTTCATTTGATGGACATCTCAGTAAGGCAGACACTCAAAGCCAGTCCCAAAGGTGCCCTCTGTCTTAGAGAAATTTGACTGTAACGAAAATCTTTATCTTATACAAGAAATGGTTTTACATTGATCTACACTGTGTATAATGCAGACCTCACTGATCTTTGTACACTCACCAACCAACAAGCCTTTCATGAGTTGTCCCATGCCTCTATTTCATAAGTCAGTCAAATTCCTTGAAGATGGACACCTTTGGGACTGGCCCTAAGTGTCCGTCTTAGAGAGATGTCTGTCTTATGGTGAGTCAATTATAAGGACTAAAGAAAGGCAGGGACGAACCCTAGGTGTCCGTTTACGTTCCGTTTTACTGAGGTGTCTGTCTTATAGAGGTGTCGACTGTAGTTGATATGCAAAAAATGATTTTAATTTTCATTCAAATAAAACCCCTTTTCAGTCATGATAAGTTTTGCACTTAGCCTCGTTTTAAAAGTGAGAGTTTCTGAGACTCGGAAACGGGGTAGCAGGGCCTTGGCTGTGCGGGACAGCGCCCGCACGCTCCCCCGCTTCGCACCCGAGATAGGTCATGCGCACTTGAGTAGAAGAACACTTCCCCTTGTCCAAATGGCCGGAAGTTTTGATTCAAGACAAAGTCAATTGCTATGATCGACGTGTAGCGCCTTCCTTTCAGTAGGCACGTAGAACACCTTTGGCCAAGATGCTTGAGAAGCATAGGCATTTGCTCATAAAATTTAGACAGGAGATCGCGGAAGATTTACTGGTGGACGATGTTCTTGTTTTTCTGCGGAGCAAGTTCGTGCTTGATTCGGATGACACCGAGGTCATTCGAGTGGAGAAAACGTCCCATCGACAAGCAGAAAAGCTGCTAGACATCCTCCCACAGAAAGGATTCGAAGCGTTTGATCATTTCTTTTCTGCTCTAAGTGATAAATACCCGCATTTGGCCAAGCTGTTGCAGAATGATTCAAACGAGGAACAGTTCAAATTCATTCTTGAGACTGTCGATTCTCCTTTGCAGTGTAAGTAACCCTAATAATCAACTTAGGTTGTAAAATTATTGTTAAATTTGTTGATAGTTTTATTAGCAATCTAGCTGTTATTCAAGCGGACTTCGCTGGCTGCCGTGTATGGGTGCTGCATGTAATCATTTCTCCTCCTTGTGATTTATTTTTGGGGAGGTCAGACATGAAACCAGATATGCAAGGGAATTTTAGTTTAATCCTGCCACTGTTGTTATGCATTATAATAATTATTTCTCTGCATCATAATATTTTTGTTAAATTGGTTTACCAAGTCATTACAAATTAATGTTAATTTTAATGCAGGATGTTTGCCTCTCTTGGAGTTTGTGTGAGGGGCAGTAATGAGGGATCTTGGGTGAGTGGTACTACCTGAGCCTTTGGGTGGGTGAGTACTTTTGGGATCAACAGTTACCCTTAGTCTATACCCACCATGTCTGTACCCTAGGTACCCAAGAGGGGAGAAAAGAAGGGGGGGGGGGGAAGAGTTAAAGGTCACAGCAGTCAATTATGGAATCTGATGATAAATGCTATGGTGCTACCTTTAAATGACTCAGCTTTAGTAAGAGCTTATTTCATATTTTTATGGTTTTCACAAAACTGCATGTAATTCTTGCCTGGCGGAATCACAAATGAGGCTCAATTACGAGCTGATGTTCAGGAAATGGGCCTGCGCTCCTCCTGCAAACAGATAACTGGGTGCATGGGTTTGCTGTTATTGATTTCCACCAATCATGACCTCTTCAAATTGAGCAGGAGGCATAAATTTATTTTCCTGGAGCAGATTTCAAATGGTGGATGCAGATGTGTTGTTTTATGTGGTGGCAATCATGTTTTAGAGTGTTTTAAGATTAAAAACCTGAAATATCGAGAAGCGTTAGAGAGGCTGGTGAATGGTAAGGATGTCTTGTTGATCTGGATCATGAATCATTTTCCAGTCTGCACCAATGGTTGTTGACAGCTAATGTGAAGGAGATAACTTTCTATGTCCATTCCCGTTGTAATTTCAACCCAAAATTTGCAAATACAAGGTGCAAAATACCTAAAAACATCATGTCATCTGCTGATTTTTTTTGGTGAATACCAAAGCAGCAATGTGTTTGGTATCTGATGACATTTCCCATATCCGTAGTTAACAAAACAAGGAATGACCCACAATGAGCTACAATGAGCTAAAATAAGCTACAACTACAATGTCCTACAAAGAGCTACAAAAATGACAGACAATACACACACACATTGACCATGATGACACACATCGACACATCAAATGATCTACAATGACCACATCCAGTCATTGTGGGTCATTCGTTGTTTTAGTATCTACATTCCCATATCTGGCTTTTTCTAAAGATGCATGCATTAAATTTTGAACTTACAATGCAGACACAATTTTATTGGTCACTCACACATCTACCCTTTTCTTCTTGGGAAGGACCTAGAGAGTGGGCGAATCAAACCTAATGACAAATATCATAGGTCTCAAAATAGGCAGATCTCACATCATGATCAAGCTAGATAATTAATTCAAACTTCAAGGCCAGGATACTGCAACAAAGCTAACTACAAAGTTCCTTTCTTAATTTTGTTTCATCAATATTTTATTCTCCAACAGTAGAAATGATGAGTGAAGAACACAAAGATATCCTAAATACTAGCAGAGTGGAGATTGTGGAAGATTTGCTGGTTGATGATGTTCTTAACTTTCTTCGGAGTAAAATGGTGTTTGATCTGGAGGATACTGAACTTATTAGAGCAGAAAAAACTTCAAGAAGGCAAGCAGAGAAACTCTTAGACCTGTTAGAAACCAAGAGTGATGCTGCATTTTATGACTTCCGTGAGTCATTAGAGGAACCCTATCCTCATTTAGTGGAGCTGTTGCAAGACAATTTGAGAAAACCGCGGGCTGTCTCAGATGTCAGAGAATTAACGGAAAGAGGTGATCATATAATAGTTTTGGAAGTTGAAGTTATGTGAAGTGACCTGTTTTTTGTTGATTTGAGATCAATATACAGTCGAATCTCCATTAAGGGGCACCTGTTTAAGGGGCCACCCTCTATCAAGCGGCCAGTGACCAAAGTCCCAAACTAATTGTAGAAAAGAATGGGGAAGTACAGCTCTATTAAGTAAAGCTCTGTTATCTGCTGAAGATGGGCTGCACTGCCCTTTGCAGATCAGACATTTAGAAGCAGTCGTGGCCACCTTTTGCCCATCCCAATAAGAGTTTTTCCATTGCTTTCACCTCCACTAAGTGGCCATCCAGTGCTTACACTTAGTTTGGCCTCATTTTAAGAATATAATGAAGGAAAATAAGGACTGAGGAAGAAGTTGACGACCGATTGTGGATCAGTAAAGCTGCTCTCGTTACGTGTTTGTTTCAGAAGAAAGTAATATTTCTGCTAAAGATTATGCTAATTTTTGATGAACCTCTATTGAATATCCAACCTCCATCAAGCGGCCACCTGCTGGTACCACGAGGGTGGCCACTTAATGAAAGTTCAACTGTAGTCAACTCCTGAGCATATGTCTTAATGGAATACATACCTCTTATTAGCCAAGTTTGAGGTCTGTACTGTAAATTATGTGTCCTCGTTTTTTTTCACACATGGGCCATATATCATTGGGAAAAAACAAGGATATGTAATTTACAGTAAGGATTGAGAAAACAAGGCTAATAAAATGTTTATTGTATGGCGTCCTGTTTCTGGGAAAGGAAATTAGTGCAGGACAGGCGATTTGACACCCATTTGTCAGGTGTCAGAAAATGAAAGTTCTCATTGGCTCATGGAAACAATGGTGCAAAAGCTTTGAAAGTAAAATCAAAAAGTAAATGTGCCAATTTGATTTTCTGCCATAGTTGTAGTTAATAAAATCCCCTAAAATTCAGGCATAAAGGGTATTGACAGGGTCTGGAAGGGGCGGGGGTACTGATCCAGCATTCCCACTCCTTTTTTCATGAAAATCCCACATCCCGCAATTTTTTCATCACTTTCCCAAATCCAATTTTTTGTTTCCAGAACATATACGTTAAAAAAGACTAATATTAATTGCTGTAAACAATGTAAGATGTAGATTGGCTCTTTTGATTAATATTTTGAATTTACAAGTGTTTTATTGTCATTGCAAAAAGGAAATACTTTTTCATGCCTCAGTATGAGGAAGTGGAGGGGAAAAGGAGGAAGAAAGGAAGAGGCAGAGAGATATACAATAAAAAGAGCCCCCATGTGTACTTTTCTAACATCAGGGTGAAACAGTGGGTCTTCTGTCCACTCGTCTGTTGAGTGTTTGACAGTTTCAATTTAATATATGATCATTACCTACATCACTCTATAGTTTGCTTTCATAATGCTTACGTGTTTGACTTCCCATTTGCCACCAGAATGTACGACTTCCCAAATTCCCAACAGACAGAAAAAAAACCCGCATCCCATGCCCACATTTTGGTGAATCCCACTTCCCAGGAATCAGTCAAATCCGGTTTCCTGCCAACATATTTTGTGTTTTCCCGAATCCCACTCTGTATTAAGTTTTGGTCAAATCCCAGATCCCAAAAATACCCTTTCAAACCCTGTATATATTGAGGGTGACGCTGTCGAAGTCTGCTTATGTCTTCGATGTCCTGCTGAAAAATCCTAATAACTTAAACTTTTTGATTTGGTCTTTGCAGTTGAAAATGTGCTTCGTGAGGGTGGTGTTCCACAGCGACCAACGGTCTTTGCCAACAGAGCAAGAGATCTTCATAAGATCCATACTGCCCTTAGAGCGTTAAAGGAGCGAGATGGTTGGGTCATTTTACATGGCATGGCTGGATGTGGCAAGACTGTGATGGGCTCTGAAGCTCTTAGGAGCCCTGCTCTGCTAGAGGAATGTTTTCCTGGGGGTGTACATTGGGTGAGAATTGGTCCTGTTGACCAGTCCAAACTTCTAATGCGAATGCAAAATCTCTGTGCCCGTCTTGATTCTGATCACAGTCGACAACCACCAAGAAACACGGAAGAAGCCAAAGACAGGCTCAGAATGTTATTTGCTCATCAGCATCCTCGATCTTTGCTAGTTCTAGATGATCTTTGGCATTCCAGTGACATTAAATATTTTGACATTCGTTGTCGTATCATGGTTACCACGCGGGATGCTGCAATCGCAAATATGGTTGGTGGATCGAAAGCCAAAGTTCACATCAGCGAGGGCTTCACAGAAAATGAATCACTACAAATTTTAGCCCAGTGGACAGAGCAAACTGTGATTCATCTTCCAGGGGAAGCAACTGAAATATTTCATCTTACAAATGGCTCACCATTAGCAATAAGCATGGTTGGTGCACTGCTCCGTGATCACCCAAAGAGATGGAAGTATTATGTCAGCCAGCTTAAGAAAAAGAATGTCAGCAAACTCAAGCCAAAGTTTGAGTATGAATATCCAACTCTGACAGAAGCAATTCGCATGAGTATCAATAATTTGCATGATGACTTAAGAGAACTGTATGAAGATTTTGCAGTGTTTGATGAAGAGTCTAAAGTACCAGCCCAGGCCCTTTGTATTCTATGGGATGAAGAGGTAGGGACACTTCTTCTTCACCTGCTATCTTGAAAAATGCATCTGGTTTCAGTAATGATATTTTTTATGGGGATGGGACATTAACCCATTGCCCATCCCCCATCCTCCATCCCTATCCCCCATCCCCCATCTCCCATCCCTAATTCCCTATCCCCCATCAACCATTCCCCATCCCCTATCCCCCAACCTCCAACCCTCAACCCTAACCCTTAAACCCCAACCTTAAGGAGGGTCTGTGTCTCAGTAGGTTGAATATTATTTTAATGTCATCATTTGGGTGAGTGTAGTTTTTTCATCAAAAGCGCTGTTTTTTTTAGTGATTGAGATTTTTACAAGCTGAGCTGCAATCATTGTCCTGGACAAAGTTATGATGACTTCTGCACAGCTTATCAAAACATCAGTCACTGTCTTTAACTGTTGTATATTGTAGTGCTCTTAACAATAGTCAGTCCTGGCTAACCAGACTGGTCATTTTGAAAATGAAATTATGTTAGTCTTGTTGCAAAATTTTCAGGAAGCCCCTCACTGCCGTGCATGTTATTCAGTAATAGACTGATCTTCTTAAATAGTCTTGAACAATAATAGTGGAATTCTTTTTGTGACTCGACTGTGTTCTGGCCAGTCAGTAATCATAAATGGTAAGTGTTCCTATTCAGGACACATACCTGGACAATATTATTATTATTATTATTATTATTATTATTATTATTATATTCTACATACTTCTAAAAAACATTGATGGTGTCCTTCTCTATAGTTTGAAGTTGTAGAGGACCTGATGGAGGATCTAGTAAACAAATCACTGGCCAGGAGAATAGTGAAATCTGAGGACGCCTTAGGCACTTTTTATAGCATTCACAACCTACAGCTGACGTATCTTCAAGAACAAGCACAAAACTTAGAAGCACTGCACAAGAAACTTGTAAACCAGTACAAGAAATTGTATAAGGGTGAGAAATGTGTGAGAATGGCTTTTTTACTTTAGAGATGCAATCTATAATACTTGGTTATACTTACCTACCTAAGTATACCTATGTACCTACCTAGCTTACTTTTAAAATACTTATTTACTTACCTACCTACCTACTTATATACAGTACCTACCTACCTAACTATTCACTTACGTAAATACTTATTTACTTACCTACCTACTTACCTACCTACTAGCACCTACTTTTAGTACCTACCTACTTACCTACATGTACCTACTTAGTTACCTACATCTACTTACCTACCTACCTACTTATTCACTTACTTAAATACTTATGTACTTACCTACCTATCTACCAACCTACCTAGGCCCTTGGCTTCTAGTGAAGCATAGGCCGTCAACAACACTCCTATACTATTATTTCTCTTATGGTAATTTTCCCATCAGAACCTCACATCTGGAAGGACACTAACTTTTATTTCATGGATACCTAACAGGGTTGTTTAGCAAAATGATTGATGATGGCTATATTCACTGGAATCTTTTGCGACACATGCTTAAGGCTGGTCTTGTAGATACGGCAGAGAAACTTGTTACTGATCTGGAGTGGCTGGCTGCAAAGCTTAGAATAACAGGACCTGCAGATTTACTGAATGACTACATGTCCATCAAAGGAGTTGTTGATAACAAGGTGCTGTCATAAATGACATACAAAGAGATACATCTGGTTAGAAGCCCCCTGGATTTAAGCCTCCTTAATTCCAAATGTATTGTAATGAATTCAAGTTATTATCGTGTTTTGAAGCTTATTTTGAAAAAAGGAAAAATATTAGGAAATGCAAAATGTATTTTGATAAGCCCCCTTTGGATATAAAGCCCTCTTAAACCCCATAGGCTTATGTATAATGGCAGGTTAAGGCATACATGTATATTCTTGTCAGATTTCAGGGTACACCTTTCTGTGGTATTGATGAGGAAAATTTGTTTAACAGTCAAGATCTTTACTTGTTGATCTTTTTATTTTTTCTTCCAACTATTATGTTTGACTGATCAGTATTGCTGTAAGGAGAAATTTAATTTTGGTCAATCTGAATGGTCAAAGGGTTTGATACAAACTATCGTAAGAGCACTTCATGGACTTATTGAAGTTCACAATTTTTCTCTGGAAAAAATCCAACAGTTTTTTTTTTACTTGGATTAGGATACGTGAACAGGTTTAAGGGAAATTACGTGGGTGTCATACCAAGTGTAAAACAATTGGCTGTGCCTCCCTTTTGGATTCTGTGAAGAAGTGCTCTTCCATTCATAAGCAAACTGGCATTAATTTTAGCACTTTTGGATAAATTAAGTTTAGCTTCTAGAAATATATAGTTGAAAGGAAGGAAATATTTTAGCACTTATACAATTCATTCATGATCAAATTTTTAGGCATTGAAAGTCATAGAAGATTTCCATCATTTTGTGAGTGTTAATGCGCATCGTTTTGTGGAGAAACCACTTCCTGATTTGATCCAGATGGCTCTGAGTGAATCATTAGACTCAGAGGTGTACAAACAGGCTCAAGAACAAGCAATGCAGCTGGCGGCTGAGGGCAATTTCTATCTAGACTGGAGGTGGGAAATAATATTTTAGTTTTTAATACAGTGTACTGTAGTTTGTAACAGCAGTGTTTAACAAATTCAATTTTAAATGATTAATTCATTTAATAGCCAGGAATCTATGAGGTGAGGGGGGGGGGGGGGGGGGGTGGTGGTGTGGTTTCGTTAGGGTTGGGTCTTTATGTGGGGGGGGGGTGTGTTATCTAATGGTGGGGGGTGGTTTTCGCCTGGGAGGGGGGGGTTTTGGGGGAAGGGCCAAAGGCCGGAAAATTTTTTTGTCCATATCCTCCTGGGTGGGGTTGGTGGGTTGTGGGGGGTGAGTGAGGTATTTGGTGTGTGATGAGGGAGGGAAAAGAATTTTTTTTATATTATGTTAAGTGTGTTGTGTTTGCAAAGAAGGGAATAAAAAAATTTATATTTGAAAGGAATAATATATATAGAAGAGGGGATACTTGGGGGGGGGGGGGGGGGGATGGGTTGTGTGTGTGTCTCCGTAAGTGTTGGGCCTTAATGTGCGAGGGAGGTTGTATACCTATTGTTGGTGGTTGGGTTCAGCCATGATGGGCAGGTTTTGGGTGAAAGGCCAAAGGCCAGACAAATTCTTATGCCTAGTCCTCCAGGCTGGGGTTTGGGTGATGGGTTAATATCCCATCCCTGAAAAAAATATCATTACTGAACCAGACACTTTTCAAAACAGGAGGAAAAGTGTTGAGGCCTTATATGTGTAACAGAGTGAAAGAGGTGGGGCAGTTGTGGTATGCTTGACTGGGCTTGACTGAAAGTTGATGTCCTCTGAAACTATTTGTTTGTCGTTATTTCTTTTTGTTTTGTTCAGTAATCAAAGGGAAGAGTCACAGGAAACTCTGCTTATAACTGTCAAGATTCATCAAGGAGCAGTTTACTGCTGCCATTTCTCACAAGATGCAAGCAAAGTGGTATCCTGTGGTGCTGACAAAACTGTCAAGGTATGCACAGGCATCCCATCATAACACTTAAATTGCATTTATAACTGTAAACAATAGGTTATTGTCAAAACAGTTCAAAAAGAGCCTATTGCTTAATTGGAGAATTGGCTTCTCTTAGGGGCTGGTTCTTTCAGAAATAGATGTAAATGAATTTTTTATTGCAAAATACAAATGATTGAAGAAAACTTTTTCAGCGAAATGACAACTGCAGCTTGTGGTTCCGGTTAAGATGTCATCTCTGTGGTATGTAAGAGTACAGACAATAGAAAAATGTTGTATATGTCGTTAAATACACTCGGAATAAATAAAAAAACTATTTTTACATGTCTGGACCACTTGGACCTTGACTAAGTGAGTGATCATCATCGTCTGTTTTGTTCCAGGTATGGGAGAGTCATTCTGGTAAAGAACTGCTGTCAATGACAGGACACACTGATGTGGTGTACTGTTGTAACTTTTCCAGTGATGATGGTAGAATTGTTTCTTGTTCTGCTGATCATACAGTGAAGGTTTGTATGCCCCCATTCCAAGTCATCATTAATGTCACCATAAATTATTTGCTATGGTTTGTTCATATCATCATCATCATCAGCAGCAGCAGCACTAGCATCCCATCATCACCATTAATAATTGTCATGTTCATTATTGTCAAAAATTATCATCATGATTGTCATCATCGTCATCATTTTTTCAACCAATACTGTAGTTCAAACAGTTTGATATAACTCAAAAGTATTTTAATTTAACAAAAAATAGTCAAATTTCTGTTAGTCTGAAAAGACCTTCTTGTTCCTAATCCAAGGGATTCTGGATTGTAGGGTCAACTTCCTTGATTTAGCTATCTAGAAAATCTCAGATCTCTCAGAATTGCAGTCTTGACAGATAATGGAATTAGTCATGTCAGTCTTTCAGAATAATTCTAGCAAATTTCTAAGATATTTTGAGAACTGTAAAGAACAGTAAGTTACAAGTCCTTCCAAGAGGAGGAATGCTGTCACTTTGTCATTCATTTCTGAGACTGCCTGTCACCAAGTAAGTTAGGAAAAAATGTCACTGTTGCATTTTAGCAAGGGACAAAATATTGCTTTTGGTTCAGCATAAATTTTTGTGATACTCAATTTTTGGGGGGAATTTATGACAGATATAGCACCTGGAAAGAATTATTGTTATCAACCTTTCTCCTTCGAGGAACCGTTCTTGAACAATACCATAATATTAAAAAATGTTCCAAAGAAAGTAACAAAAAATGTTTGGAAATAACAGAAGGGAGTTTGTTATTTCACTGCCAAAACAGGCCAAATGCAAAAGTGAGCAGGTGTCGCTTTTACTACTTAAAAATGGATTGTCTCAGTCACAATATTCTTTCCTCTATTTCTGTTGATTGTCGGTGTTTTCTGAGAGGAATGTCGCCTGTCGCTTCTACCCCTTGGTAGGCCTCGGTTACAGTGCTTACGTTTTGAGGACAGCTTACCAGGTGTCTTTTGTTTTTTTGCTTTTGTTAAGATTTGGGACTGCAGTATAAGTGGAAGAGAATTGCTTAACTTTAAAGGTCACAATCAGGATGTGTTCACTTGCATGTTTTCACCTGACGACAGTAGTGTGGTTTCCTGCTCAGCTGACAAAACTGTAAAGGTATTGTTATAGTAAATATCCTGTACATACATTAACCACCAGTAGTACAATAATGATGTCGTTGATAGGTGTATGACATAATTAGTAATGTCTTCAAAGCAACTCCAAGATCCTTGTGCTGGATTACCAGAAGTGCATTTCGAATTTTCCTTCAACCTGATTAGCTAATTGAACAATGGCTTTTTTAACAGGCCAACCATAGTGTGCACTCAAACCGGGTACACAGCTGGAAGTCCAGAACAAGGATTTTGGCACTGGCTCACATGTGGACTTAACCATAGGTGGAAAAAGGGGGGAATAAGCTATTGAGGAAAGCATTCATGGCACTCCACTTAGAAATATTTTCACTGGCTAAGGAGTACAGAATTCTCCTTGATTATTCATATGGCAAACTTCAGCCTTGTTTGTCTACCGCCTGTACTGTAGGGTTAATTGACGTGTATTTCTTTTTCCTTTCTGTCCTACCTTGCAAGCAGAGGTTTCTCTCCCATGCGAACGACTTCATAAAAGCTAAAACCCATGCAAAAGAGAAACCTCTGCTCGTTTTCTGTCCTTTTCAATTCTTGAACAAACTGAGCACACTTCAGTTAATTGTGTCAAATATTTAAGGTGTGGAACAGTGGAACTGGAGTAGAGATGGTGACATTTACTGGTCATGCAGATATTGTAAGATGCTGCTGTTACTCGCCTGATGGGTCAAGGATTGTTTCCTGTTCTGACGACACTCTTGTTAAGGTTTGTGGAGATGTTTTAAGGTATCATCCAGGGTAAAAATTCATATCGTTTCCTAAATTGCAATTTTTAGATGAGTAGATAAGCTCGATGGGGACTATTTTTAAAAAAAAAATTCCAAGAAAATGTTATCTGCAGAGACATTTGGCTATTGAGTGGGATACTAAAACTGAAGCTGTACAAGTAATATAAATGTGTGTAGATTGTGCTTTTTAAAGATGTGCCCACCAAGAGACATTCAGTTATAAATTACTTTTTGTTTCTAGGTCTGGGATTCTTTGTCTGGACAAGAACTGTTTTCTCTCGAAGTTGGCACAAACTCTGCCATGACATACTGCTGTTTTAAGCCTACTGGATGCAGCATCGTTGGTGTCTCGGATACTTCTGTCAAGGTTTGGCATAAAATATTACAAGTATTCTTTTTATTTATAATCGTTATCTGCAAATTCGGTTTACGGTCATCTCGCCACCGAAGAAATCGCCACCAAGAAATCGTCTCGCCACCAACAAATAATTTTGTATTAATTGAGACAGTTTAATACCTCGGATTACTTACCTAGGAGTTTTACTTTTTCGTCAAGCTTATTCGAATTTAGAGTCGACCCAAATACAAATCGGTGGATCCTTGCGTCGAACGTCTTATGCTCTTGATAATGCAAATACTAATATTACATGTATAGGTTCTGTGAATGTAAACTTCGACATTTGAGACATTAAAAAACTGGTAGAAACGTTTCACAACCACGACTCATTTCTTTGAAATATGAAAATAAAGTAACGGTTAAGAAATTTCCGTTCATGAAGGTTCAAAACAATGCTAAGCTAAGTTCTATTTTTGGTGGCGAGATGACCAGAACCCGCTAATTCAAGCCATAGATCGCAATGGGAAATACAGCAGTTACATCAATATTAATTGGGGTGAATGTAAAGTTTTGCCATTTAAATAAAAGCCATACCTTATCAAGGAAGATAAATGCATCGTGAAATTATCGCAAAAAATTTGTGTCAATTGTGGCCTTAATTTTTGACAACGTTAGTTTTCGCGACCTTAATTTCCATTATTTTGGCCCCAAATTCTTGATGCACTCCAGCCATTCTTGACACCTAAGAAAGAGGGGTATTTTATCAAGGTGGAGATCCACCAGAATCAGTGAAACTCTAAAGAACTTTCGAAGTGGCCAGATTTCTTCGCTTGACTCCCGTCGTACGTTTAGGGAAAGTATAGCAAACAAATTTTTCATTTCAGATTATTTTGCTTAATTCTGTCCCTGTGTTTTGTCTCAAAAAATTTTGTTTCTTTGTGAACATGGCGTTGATTTTCTTTATTTTCTGAGAGTCGTTTGCCATTAAATTTGTGTTAACTTAAGTCGCGTTAATTCAGTGAGTTCCAAGGTGATACCTTAATTTCATGGGTCAAGTAGTAGGTAATTGCCATCTTCTTTGTTTGCATTTTTGTTTTAGATATGGGACTCAACAACTGGTCAAGAATTAAAGAGCCTCCAGACACCATCTACAACCCTCTCTTTGGCTTACTCTCAAGATGACAGCATTTTGGCTTTGGGCTTGTCTGACACAACTGTTCAGGTATTTTGTTATCCTCTTTACAACTTACTATAAATTATTGTTACCACTTTTCAAGAAGGTTAGTACAGTTGCTATAGATCATACAGCATCTCACGTAGATGTACTTGTGAAGAAGCCCTAAGAACGTCTGTCGTGGCAAGATTTTTAAGCAGGGGATGGAGCTGAGGGGAAGGGGGGGGGGGTCGGTCTTATACCAGCATCATTATTGAGTTCATGTGTAGCTCTTGAATTTGACGTGTTTTAAAGATTTTGTGCATTTATCTTTTTTTTTTATCTTAAAGTAACCTGTTACCCAAGTGAAACATGCAAGTGTGGATGGGAAGCAGATGCAGTCTCCACAAATATATTGTTAAATATTTTTGCGAGCATGGTTTCGTGGGTGCTTGCAGGGTTGTAAAAGCTCATAGGAAAGCCAAGATTAAGATGCATTCTCCTTTGTCAAAACGCAATAAATAGAAAGTGTTCTAAAACGGGCTTACCTTTGAACTGTGTTTGCCAATTTCTTGTGGTGCTTTGATCATGTAAGACCAGGGTGGCCTATGCGTAATGCACTGTTTCTTGTTTTTTTTTTCTGCTAGCTGTGGAATGCCATTAGTGAAGCCAGCTTGGGTGCGTACAGAGGTCATTCTGGTTGGATCCACTGTGTCGCCTTTTCACAGGATGCCTGCAAGCTGGTGTCGGCATCAGATGATGAAACTGTGAAGGTAATGATCAGTGATAAAAGAACTGTTTATGACTGCCGGCCTGGAGGTAAAGTGGTGTAACGCCCGAGTACATGGACACCAGGTTACCCTGGGTAACAGGGGTTTTTTCTCGCGTGTGGCGGGATGTTTCGGGGCCGACAGGTCTTCGTAAAGACTTGACCGAAACTGGAAACCGCGCATGAAAAGTCTTTGGTACTCAGGGTGCTTTCGTTGATTATTTTTTGAAATGAAAATGATCATTGGATGAGGCTGAATATTGTGTAAAGAATTGTTTCTGTCAAAACATTTACAAGTTCGCGATCTGCAATTTCAGGAAACTAAAAAATGTTTTTCTTTTAGGTATTCAATAAAATGTAGTCGACCTCCTTCAAGTCTATTTTCTTGTTGTTGATATCTTGAGGCAGTAATTACCTAAGTTTTTGAAATCTTCCATCAATTGTCTCAAGCTGTGCTCTATTAAAAATCTGAATCTGATCCCTCTGTGTGTCTATTTTTGTTTGATACAATAGAATGCCAACTGAACTGCAAAGTGTTTGTTCAACAGAGACCCGAGCAGGTTTAGTTGGGTATCAGTTCTGGCCCTGCAGAAGACTTGTTCTCCTTATCATCATCATCACCAATTTTGTTTCCTCGTGAAGTGCAGAACCATTAAAAAAAACTTGCCCAGCTTGACTTCCTTTGACCAATGATATTACAAGGATATACTGTCCACTGTAGCAACGATTATTTGCTCTGTATGTTGCCTGTTTCCTAATGACTATGGCGATTGAGTTGGTTCTGTTTTACCAATTTTTTATTCTTTCTCTGTCTGTAGATATGGACTGTTGACAAAACTACCGTTCAGGGCTCTATCAAGCTGAGAATGGTTTTTGATGTTTTATTTCTGGATGGGTCGCTGATTATTGCCATAACTGATGCTTGCAACAGGCTCATGGTAACATTTGCTATTACAATGAATGCGTTAATTTAAAAACTGTCATTGACACTTAGGGTCCTTACCAGAAGTCAGAAAAGGCCAGCCGGACTGTCAGCCGGACTGGTATTCAAGAACCTAACAAATAAATCGCCCCATCCAGATTCTGGAATCTGGGAAATTTTTGCTTGTGGAATCTGGAATCCCCACTATCATTGGGATCCGGGGGGGGGGGAACTCCACATAAAAGTGACGGGGATGCTCGTCGGAAAATTAAAATTAAACCCCTAAGGGAGACCAATGTGGGTGTGGCTTAAGCTTAAACTGACCCCTAAAGGAGACCACACAAAAACACATATATCACGGCATTTTCCTTGTAAATTTCTTTATGCACAGCCCTAAGTGATACCTGAATGGGCAAATATAGTGACTTTCCGTCCCAAACACCCCAAATGAGATCGAAATTTGCAATTTACATCCCTAAGCGAGACGACGGGCATCTCCGTCACTTTTATATGGGAGTCCCCCCCCTCCCCTCCGTCTCTAGAGAGATCTATGTCATTTGGACGGAAAGTAACATAATTCCAGTGAACAAGATCCAAAAGGCTTTTGTACTTCACTAGTACAAAAGCGCAACATAAAGTTTGTGTAATTTTCCCTTTTAGATATACGAGGGTGAAAATACCAAGTTTCTGGCACAAAGTGAACCACACGCATGTAAAATCACTAGCATAAGTTTCAATAGTGATGGACGGCAAGTTGCGATCGGCTTAGGTGATGGTAGCGTTAAGGTAAAATTCTTTTCTTTTCTTTTCTTTTCAGTTCAGTTCTTTTCGGGGGTTTGCAAGCTGTTAAACATGAACAGTGAAAATTCCCGTATTAACCCCTTCCCTCCGAAAAAACTCTCCCTTTTTCTCTCCGCTCAGCTTTGCTCTTGGTCTGCAAACATGTAATACGGCGGTCATGTTGGTGGTCACTATATTGAATTTTATTTTTCCAAAATTTACGTGAAAATAGAGTTTAGTTCCCAGCGAAGAGAAATGCTGCCGTTCTTGATCATCAACATGGCCGCCGTGACGTCACACGAAGCCAGCAATGCTCTCTTGCACGGAAATCGTTTTACCTTGGAAATTACAGTAACTTCCGATAAAAGGTAAGAGAGCACTCAGCCTGTACTAAACATTGTGATGAGTCGTAGAATTCAGAATGTTGTGCAGAATAACAGCACAACATAGACTTGGCACAAGAGTACACGGCACAGTACACAATACGTTGTCATTACGATCTGCCAGTCTTAGTTTTGACAAATGCTATTGGGAATATTTAACAGAAAACTCATTCTAATGGACCTTTTTACCGATACGGCGGCCATATTGAATTTATTCGATTTAAGGAGTATTATAGGATGCCCAGGGGGCATGAGCACATTTCGTTTGTATTTTTAAGCGCTTTTCGGGACATTTTTTCCTAAATTTTTTTTGAATAAGATTGTAACGGGAAAAAGATCCCTGTGCCGTGTTTGGATGTAATCGATGAAATATGCAGTGAAAGACCATATTTCTAATACTAAACTAGAAAAAGGCGATCATTATTACATCCAAACATGGCACAAGGATCTCTCTCGTTACAATCTTATTCTAAGAAAACTTCAAGAAAAAATGTCCCGAAAAGCGCTCAAAAATACAAACAAAATTTGCTCATGCCCCCTGGGTATTCTATAATACTTCTTAAATCGAATTAATTCAATATGGCCGCCGTATCAGTAAAAAGGTCTATTTATTCATGAATTGTTCATTTGAGAAGTGTTATTGCACCATCTGCTTGTTTGTTTACTTTAACGGTTGGAGTTAAAGCTTCAATATACGGCAAATTAGAATTCTTTCCCAATGGATATTATAAATTCATCATACATGATAACTCACTCCCTAAGTTAGCGATGAGTTTCGCTCATGTCTTGTTTTAGTTCGTCGGTTGTTTCCTACCCTGCGAGCATAGGCCCTTCGATTATCTAGGAAGATCGAAGGGCCTCTGCTCGCAGGGTAGTTGTTTCCTGAAATCTTAGGTAGAATTTCCCCTTCACGAGATAAATTTGTGAGTAGAATACTTATAGTAATTTTTTAGTAACCTTTTCTCATGATCTCATTTTCAAAAAACTTTTTTTTTTACTTAGATTTTGGAGAAATCTTCTTTTAAATTCAGTCAAGAGTTTCATGACCACTCAGGTCGTGTGAAGTGGTGTGCATTCAGTAAATGTGGTCAAGTTTTAGTATCGGTTTCGGATGATTCCACTGCAAAGGTAACATTAGCTATAACACTGGTAAAAATAAATAACGTAGAACAAAACGAACGACAATTTTTTTTCAATGTTTGGACCTTAGGTCTTGTAAGATGCAATTTGCTCTTTTGTTGCTTTTGTTTTAACAGTTTTATTCCAGTTTTTATCCACGGTCCAACTAATATATACCAAGAAAATTGGCCCTGTATTCTGTAGTTATGCCAACAGCTAAAAGTAACTGTGTAGTGTGTGTTTAAATTCAGTCGGAACAAACATTTACTACTGGTGACAATTTACAATGAACGTGTTCGCTTACTGTGTAGGTTTACAGTTGTGTGGAAGGACGACTTCTGTTCTCACTAGAAGGCCATACTTCCAGTGTTCAAAGATGTATGTTCTTTAATAAGGACCATCGACGCCTGCTTACGTCTTCTCTAGATGGATCACTTAGGGTAGGGACTGTTATTTTTTTACTATTTAATTCAAGAGAACATTAAAAATCCATTCTACAAAATGCCCCGAAAGAAAGCCACTCAGAATCCATGTGAAGTAAGGCAAACTTAGCCTGTGTACAGACGTCCTCTCCTCCCTCAGGAAAAAATCGGGAGAGGAGACTTAACCCTGGCTTGAAGCTTTGTTGCGACCTTATTTAAGATTAAGATTAAATCTTTAGCCTGATATAATTTCCATATAATACAGGGTGCCTAATACGGTTCTTCAATTTCGTCATCCTGGGTTAAATTCAACCATCTTTCGAGTAACCGGGCCCTGCAGTTCCCAAAGATTCCTTTAGGGAAGAAAGTCGAGTGCCAAGTATTGAATTCCAAATGTCATTCCGTAGAGTGTCGAGGAACATTTTTTTTGAAATTGGTCACGGTGAACGAACACGGTGACAAGGAATGAAACAAGACTTAGGTCAACTCCTTCATTACCCAGCCAGCCCATGGAGCCCACTCCACCTAGGGTAACGGATTGAGGAAATCTCCCGTAATTGGACATGGGTCCCAACCACATACAAACACTAAGTTTTCAACCTTCTTGCATTAGTCTATATTTCTACTGGACTTCTAAAAGTCCTTTATTTTTTTCCCTGGTTGGTTATGCCATTTTAAAGGACTCTTCATACCTGTTTAGCGCGAAATTCGCCGGTCGAAAATTCTACCGTTGACGTCATGACAATTGAGCAATAGGAAAGTGGGCGATATTTCACCCCGCTCCCGACACAGCATATGTCAATCATTTTTTTCCCGCGTAAATTTATAATGTGATTCAGATCAATTCAGGCGAAACAAGTCGAGCTCCAGACTTCGTCGCTCGCTCGGTCTTTGCGCGACCTCATGCTTTTAAGCTCGTTTCACTCGCTTTTAAGAACTTATGAGAGGTCGACTTGTAGTAAGTCTATATTTCTACGTACTTGACTTTCTGCATACCCTTTATATACTAAGTCCAGTCAAATTGTGGTTAAACACTAACCTGATTGCAACAGAATTTCAAGAGATAATCCTCTCGTGGCGTTCAGTTGAAAGGATGAAGCCCTGGCTGCATGGCTTTCAGTGACTCCTGGGTGGCGCCTATTTCCTTTATGTAAACTTAACTTTTACACACGGTTTTCTCTCAAGGTGTGGGATACACAGACTGGTTGCCTTCAGTTTTCCTGTAAGCACAGCAGTAGTGAATACATTCTATCTTGTGATGTGTCGCAGGATGACTCAAAACTGCTCTCTGGATCAGTGGATAGATACGCCAAGGTAAACTACGGATTATAACTATACAGCAAGCTGAGGTGAAATCCTCAACTTGGTTATCATAATCACATGCGAAACAAACTCTGCACTGTTCGACAGGAACGTCGAAGAATAAATAAAGCAACGAAAAAGAATTGGACAATTTTGCACGTGCATCGCGCTTTTCTGTTATTTATTTATTTATTTATTTTTTGCTCATTTTAATACGACGTGAAATGGCGACTTTAAAGTTTTGTTTAGAACGTGGAACGTGCACGTTCAGGAGAAAAATTTGTACCTGTCTGAATTCCATTCCGAATTCGAATTCGAATTTTTTTTAATTAGGTAGAGATTTGTAAACATAATTTTTGTACTTATATGGTCACTCTTAATAGATCTTTACATACAGTGTGTATTTTGATACGGCTTTCATGTAAAGAAGTTTTTAACTTATCGAAAGTACCGTATTGAAGTAAAAGTGATTCATTCATTCATTAAACTTGGACGCGGATTCTCTTCTTTGGAAGCTCCAACTTAATTTCGCAGATTTTAATTCAGTCAGTAAACGACTTGAAATAATCGCGAAAAAGTTTGAAAGGACGCCATGTCAGTTTTTCAGTGAGTTTTCATTGGAGTCGTTTTAATGTTGTCGGAACGTATGGTCTGTATTAATGTGAACCCTACACCACACGTAGCTACGTCTCTGAATTTTATGGCTAATGCCGGTCCAGGCTAGCAATTGATTCCAAATCTCTTCGTCCATATGTTTTTCGTGTAACCGTGATCAAAACCGCCTCGCGCGACAGACTCAAACAACGTCAGATAACCGCTCAGTGTAAACACAAAGTGTCATGAAAATATGTTTCATTTGTAAGCAGTGTGAGCATGTTTCGTTAAGTGTGAACACAACATTAGTCAGATTAAATTTAAAACACTTATGAGTAATCTTCCTTCTACCATGCTATGAAATTCTAAAGTGCTTATTCTAGGCGGCGGGTCTAAAATACAGGTCACTTTTCACGGGCCATTCCTAAAATGTTATAAGCAGGCTTAGCTTACCTCTGCGTAACTGTTCCAACTTTCGTTTAACTGCCGCAGTGGAATTCAGAATACATGTAGGCAGGTAGCTTTTTGTGTAATTACCGACACTTTCAAACTTAACTTTGATTAAAGTAATTGGAAAGCAAACTTCTGAAACTAAAGAAAACAAGAACCAAGCCACATGTTTTTCAACTTCGTCTGCACATGCGCCGATTACAAATTGAGGAGATGTTGACGCGTGGCACGTGCAGCACGTGCAACTCGTGTTGATCAGCTTAAAATGAAAATACATAGAAAGAGCTCTCCTGAATCAGAGGCTCAAGGCCCAAAACTTTAGGCAATGATTTACAACTTTTCTCTCAATTTATGTTTGCACGGGAAATATTAAGAGACGCTATCAAATTTAGCGCCTCCTGACTTGAAAACGTATCGCAGTGTTTTTGTCGCCGGGACTGTTGAGAGAAGTTGAACGTAATTCTACTTAGTGTACGATTTGCTGCAACGAAAACGCTACACGGACGTGTTCGTTTTAGGTAATGTCAGTGGGAAATCCTTGTTACAACGGGTGTCGAAACACAATTGCTAGACGAGTTGAGCTGGAGAATTTCCCTAAATAAAGAAAAAGCTAGATCCCTTCGTGTTCTCCGAATTCCACTGCGCCATTCTAAACTCTACGTTTGGGCCAATATTGCTTCGATCTTTGCAGTAGGTGTAAAGAGCAGAGCTTAAAATGTGATCAAAAGAGAATTATCAATTTGCTCATTTTTGAATGTGTTTAGGTTTGGGATGCTAATTCTGGAGCTCTTTGTTTCTCCCTTGGGCCGCATCCTGACTGTGTGAGATCTGCGTCATTTTCTAAAGACAACAAGTTCATCTGTACTGGCTGTGACGATGGAACAGTTAGAGTAAGTGCAGAGCTGTAACATTTGGAGATATGAGCAAAAAAACCCAAATTGAAAATGAAAAATGTTAAAATGAATGCACAAACCAACGAGAGAACAATAATATGTTGAATGAATAGGCGTCCTCAATTTTTAATAGGTAACTTAAAAAGTATCTGTTTAATGAGTAGTTAGGGAGGTATGTGGTTGTTGTAAGTTTACTTTCGTCATTAGACATTTAGTGAATCAGACGCTATATAGAGTTAAATTACATTCCAACTATACACATAGCAGCTATAATGATGTCACTATACCTCAAGTGGTATAAGCTCGTTAAATGTTTGTTATGGGCTAGTAGGGGTATTATGTAATGTTTTAAACACACTCCTTTGTCAGGTGTGGAATGTCGCTGATGGACGAGAACTTGCAGTTTGCAGTAAACACGATGGATGGGTAAGCAGTTGTTGGTTCTCAAGCGACAGCGACTTTCTGGTTTCCGTTAGCAACAACATTAAGGTACGATTATATATTTTTTTTACTGGAATATTTATTCGTTTGTCACTTGTTGTTTGCTTGCACAGTATTTTCTCCAATTTGTCTTGGGTTTACAGTCGTTCCAAGAGAAATCGAAGACAATAGAGACCTTTAGTATCAGTTGTTTTCGTGGTTAGTGCAAACTGCAAACCTGAAGATGTCCGTGACCATGGTCTTGCGGTCACGTTTGCAGTTTGCAGTTCACGTTTGACGGCGGGAAGGGCTTCCAGCGGTAAGTGAGGCAAGGTTTTTTGGTACAGCCTCATATTTTAAGGCAGGGAATAGGTTTCTACACCCACCTGGGATGTGTTAGTTAGAATTTGAACTCCAGTCAATGATTTCTTCATGGTTTGTAGGCGATAAAAGTGAAGCTCTTTGACTTTACGAAAAGTAGCGAACGCTTGCTAAAATTCGAAATTTCGACAACGTGAAACTGCAAACGCGTAAATGCAAACTGCAGATTGCGGTTTGCTGTTACCTATGAAAAACATGATACTAAAGGTCTCTAATTGGGGGGTAAACAAGGTGCATTATGGTCTATGTCAAAATGGTGCATTCGCTACTCAGTTGCTAAGTAACAAGCTTTCCGCGCAAAGACTTCCGGATTGTTTGGGTGGACAAGCGTTAGTTGTGATAGGTTAATGACATCCAAAGGCGACCATAAACCGATCATTGTTTGTAAATAGGCCACCCAATGATCCCAGAAACCTTTTCGCCGACAGCTTGTACCCATTCTTCTCGCAGTTTATGGCAAAGTGAATTTGTTTTTCTTGTTGCATAAATGAATCCAAGTTATTTGCTGGCCCCGTAGTCTCCCACGCAGCCGTTTTTGTCACACCAGACTGAAGGAGCGTTGCGTGACCAAGTGGCAAGTGGGAAACTATTGGCCACGAGTAACCGCAAAAACCTCGGCAAATTTTTACTGAATGTCAGAAAGTTATCATTTGTTTGATTTTTTGCCTGTCTCTTTACTCCAGTGGTGGAAAAGAGATAGCACATTGTGTCAACAATTCAACTTGAAGGGAGTCCAGGCAAAAAGTATTCTGTTCTCGCCTGATTTCAAGACCTTTGTGACAGTGGATAATGTAGGAATGATCTACGTTTTGAAGAAGATTTCTCCGTGATCTGACCACTGGAATGTTCCCTAATAATGCTTGCATAACACAATCAAGTTCGATAAGAAATTTTTAGGATATACATATCGAATTCGTAAATATTATTGTGATCAGAACTTGTTAGTCTTTTGAGGAAAAAACAATTGCTTCGCTATAACCGGACATCCGTGTTAAGCAAGTCAAAAAAGTTAAATTTATGAAAGGTTTTTAAAAAGCATTTTGTTTCCTCGATTTAGTTTGAAGATCAATTCTTGCAATAGAACGAGCCAAAAGTCAGCGTTCTCCATATTATTGTGGAGAAAAAAGATAGACCTCTTTATCGTTACATCGGGCATATTGAAGAAATAAATTTTTATGAATTTTGCGGGGTGTCTAGGGAAGAGAGGCAAGTTCTTGGCGAATTCGCGAAAAGTTTTTTTGATACAGAATGTCAGAGAGGAAAAGCCGATTTTTGTACCGTGTTTGGGTCAAAAAGAAAAATGTTCTTTCGAAAAGTATATCTAAATTTAATTCTTAGTTTTCAAGAAACCAAAGGTCATTGCTGCATCCAATTATTATTATTATTATTATTATTATTATTATTATTAAATTATTATTATTAATTATTTTTATTGTTGAATAATGAATTATTATTACCCAAATATAACAAAGATCGCCTTTCCTCGTTGGAATATGGATTAGGGTTGGGAAACGAAGTGAATGATGTTTCATATAGTCTTCATAAAAAGTCTGACGTACCGTAGGTCGATGTGACTTTATCGCAACTTATTACAAAATTCAATTCAATAAGGCTTTATAGTAGATAGGGAAAATAAATAAGTTTGTCCCCAGCTTGGCGGTTGTCCGTTTAAAATATCAACGGTAGCAGCGTTGTTTCTCCTTCTCTATTTTGATTGGTGGCAAACTTTTCTAAAATGGTAAATTAAGAATTTCAGAGTCGTCTTTTTATAAAATTTCTAATATATTTGAATGCAGATGTAAGTCCTGCTGTGGCAGTGAAAATATATTATGTTGTATTTGCTAAAAATCTGTTTAAAATTGCTCACACCCTGTAAATGCTCGTAAAGTAAGGCCTTTATTCAATGACCTTTCACGGCACATCGGTATCGTCGTCTTCAGCATTTCCTCATCTCATACGCTGTCCAGTAGCCGGGTATTTTTGAAAACGGAGGTTTTTTTTCCTGCGTTTTAGCATTCCGTCCATGCGTAAACGGCGTTTTCGGGCACAAAAAATGCAGGTTTTCTATAAAGGTCCTAGAGTGCAGATTTTGGAAAACGCCGGCTTCTCGGTTACCAGTGGACGAACGAAAACGATGATGTCATGCATCAGAACCACTAGCATTACGCGTGCTCCGTATCAGATGTTATCGTATTTCCATCGTTTTAGTGTTTTCATGTGGACGAACGAATACGCTATCTGTGGACGTGTGTTTTTGAAAACGGAGAGAAAAAAAATATCCGGATACGTGTGGACAGGGCCTCAGGGAGCCTTAGCAACGACCATGACAACGGCAACAAAAACGTTACTAATAAATTTGCTTTTTAAAAAAACTCTGTTGTGATTTTTCCGACTCGCATAAAATTTCAAATTGAAGTTTTACAAACAGAAAAGGTCGGCCTCCAGCTCACTGAGAAAAGTCTTACTTTCAAGGGAATGTGTGTCTCCCACGGAGGAAAAGCTTTGCTATTGAGGCCTTAGACTGTGAAAAACTGTTGTAAGGTTACTAAGACTAGAAGGTTTCTAAAGTGTCGGTAGAACGGGCAACAAAAACGTGCAACTTGTTTTGCAACATTACCGCAAAACGAGGTAAAAAGCGACGTTGCGCGTTTTACCACCCACTATCAAACTTGTTAACATCCTGAGTCACTGCAAGACAGGTTTGATGTTGGTGGTAAGACGCTCAACATCGCTATTTTTAAAACTCGTTTTCCAGCAATGTTGCGAGACAAGTTACATGTTTTTTGTTACCCGTTTTTCTGTAAGATTTCTCTAATAAAAACAGTAGTAATTCATTTTTTGTCTTCTGATGAATTTTACAAATTGTAAAGATATCAAACAGTTAATGCCACAATTCCATGATAAATAGTTGGTTTAATGGCCAGGGTGTATGGAAGGATTTTCAATTGCCTTACCGGTAGCCGTAAAACGGCCAAAACTGTTAATCGTTAGATTACACGAAGAGAAAAATTTATCCGTTTGTTGTACAAAATAGTTATTTGTAATAAATTGTTCTAGCCCTTACATGATTATACCTACGGTAAAAAGAAACGTATTCCTGTAGGTCTTATATAAAGTGAACTGAAAAACTTTGCCAGTATTGCTTGCCTATTGTCAATAAAACAATTATTCCACCCCGAGGTTGTGCCTTTCTCAAACAACGTCAAGTGCTATTTGTAAGGCCCAAGTTATCGGCCCATCTAACTGTAAGGAAAAAAAATACTTCCGATTGTAAGCCCCCCGCCCTTGTCAGATATAAACCCCCTCTAATGGGCAACTTCCGAAGTTCCTAAAACCCTCACTTTCAAAATGAGACCAAGTGCTTAACCTTTCTTTTGAAAATGGCTTTCATTTGCACGAGAATGAAAAGTCATTTCCATATCAAAGGCTGAGCACTTAACCTCGTTTTGATACAGAAGCCTGGAACATTCACTTTATGATGACGTTTTGAAGCTTAATTGAACACTAGTAAATGCGAAAAGTTTGATCATCACTGCTATAGCTTTTTAGCTTATTTTGGACCCCTTTTTCTATCCCGGTTATTAATCCCCTTGGATATAGGCCGCCCCTCCGTTTAATTTATAAGTTCTCCTAACATCCCTTACGAAGATGTATAATCCCAGAGCGTAAAAGCGGCAGATTACGATATATCACATCACCTCTTTCTTCTGGCGGATAACCCTCACATATTGCGTGAGTTAATTTACGGGGAACTTAGGAATAACGGGTTAATTTGTAAAGAAAGTGTGATGTTGCGTTAGTGGGAGAGTGAAATACAAAAATTTTTGCTTTTATCAAATGAGTTTGAATCCAATCTAAATAAACAAACAAAACAAGAGTAGTCATACTGTGTTAGAGTATACTTCTCCTTTGCGGGATTAAATTAAGCCTATGGCACGCTTAGATTGGTTTATCAAATAAGAGTCTTCCCCTGGGAGTTCGAATAGCTCTCACCAAAGGCTACGGATACTAGCCTGCGCCTCGGACGGAAATTTTAAAATTCTGGTTCAGTCCGTCTGTGAAACAGCGCCGAAGTTTGATTGCGCGCCATGATTGGTCTGTTAAAAAAGTCATTGTCAATAGACCTTATTCACGATAACCGCCATCTTTGCACGCGATAAAGGACTGATGGGAAAAAAGCAATGTCACGTGGTTTCTAAGGGGGCAAACACTCGCGGTCAAGTTTGTTTACTCTTGCAAGAGCCATAGAGGGAGTCTCCCAGTCACGCCTTTGGGATATCTTAATTTCAAAAAAGTTATTTTTAGAACTATGTGGGCCATGCGAACACAGTTTCCGGTAAAACTGGGTGACTTTTGCTTGTATGGTGGTCTTTGTAGGACCCGTGCATTTTGTGTTCAACGTTTATCCGGGCCGCAAGGCTACTTGTCCTCTTTTCAGCTGTTCCAACAAAAACGATGGTCACGCGGTCGCTTTAACCGATTTCTACCGTTGCTTGTAAAGGACTCGTGTGTAGAAGTTTTAACCAGTTTCTATGGTAGGTTTTTTCGTTGAGGTAGGACAATTTATCGACTCAAAGTCCCTCCACATCGTCCCTCCACTTAGGCCGCCATTTTTTTTCATTTGTTGACTCCGCCTGGCTTTGGGGCGCTGAATCGTGAAAGCGAGTCTTCCGGAAGTCAACGAGTTTACCGGAAACTGTTTCCGCGTGGTCCGCATAGTTCTAAAAATAACTTTTGTGAAATTAAGATATCCCAGCCAACGCCCTTGCCTATTATGATCTCTTGACTCTAGACAACAGAAAATAAAGAACTTTTGATAATAGGACGATAATGGCAAATTATGGGTAGAAGTAAACATCGTTACTTCTTTGGATGGTGTAGGGACCGTACATGGCCTTACAGCAAACAATAATGACCAACCTCGTCCGACCGCCCGTTCGCCTGCACCACAGGCACACCAATATAAAATAGCTTAATCAACAGGCATGGCCACCAGGACTTTTAGAGAGAGAGAGAGAGAAAAAAATAAAGTCGTGTCTTTTTCGACGTTAATTTTGATGTTGTTTTTAATGTCTACACTCACGTGGGTAACAGAGAAAGAGCTAGAGCGAGTGATTGGAAACAAAGTAGAGGAATTTCGTTGGAAGAAAAACATGAAAATTTCATAGCAACGGTGAGAAAATGAGAAATGCTAGCGGCCAGGTGAAAATGAGCGGCAGTGAAAAAGTAAAAACGAACATGACACTGGAAACAAAATCTTTGGTAAGTACATACGACAATTCCTCCAAAACATAGCGTGTAAATAGGAAGTTTGACGTCTTAGTCGTACAAAACGGCATTGTAGTCGTGCAAAACAACGGCAAAGAAAGACAAAAAAGCGTTCTGCACGTCCAAATGTTTTTTTTTGCTAATTAGATCTATTGATCTTGATGCCATTTTCATTGGCATCCCCGTTTACCATTACACGATTTATTTTATTTTACTTTTTTGTTTATAAGTATTATCAACCAGAGCTTCGCTTTTAGTCCTGGCTTGATCTATATATTATCTTGATTGAAAGCATTTCTCCTTAGCTGATTCCCCACATGTAGATATTATTACGTATGTAAGTAACGTCACTTTTAACCTTCAACTATTATTTTGCAATGTATTAAATGGCTTCTTTTTTCTGGTAAACTGAAACTGAGTTAGATTATCATCTCTTTGTAGTCTTCATGCCATCGGTTGAATTAGGCCCGTGGAACGTCTGTTCTCGTTTTCAAGCATTACAATATTTTTTGTCTAGTCTAGGTTTTATGGCAGCCCGGTTAAGTCGTCTTTCGGCGTCTAATAGGCCACTTGCACGATGGCCTCATTTTACTACTACAACCAGAATCCTTCAGGGTTTTGCTGTCTTGTGCAAATTCAGGCTTTTGTTATTTAATCCTCGCTGGGATTACCAAATTTAAATATGAAAGGAAAAACGTAAGAGATACTGGTCATAGTAGTAAAATGACGCCATCGTGCAAATGGCCTATTCTCTGGGTTGCCCCAAGCCTCTGTTTCAAAGCGAGGCTAGGTGTAAAGCCATTGAAATGAAAATAAATTTTTATTCTTAAGCAAATAAAACTCATTTTCACAACAAAGATTTTGTATTTAGCCTCGTTTTAAGAGTTTTTGGAACTCGGAAAGGGCCTATTAACGACCCTGACTCGTCCCCAGTCTTCACCTCTCCCGCCGCCGTGCGCGTAACGAAGACGACTGGAGACGAGTCAAGTCCTGGACAGTTGCAAGCACGCTACACAAAATTGATAATTCGCCAAGAGTCTCCCACGAACAGAAATGAGGGAGTCCATTGGACAGAATGGAATCAAGTTGTGTGTATGGGTCAACCTGACGTTGGACAAACTCTTGCTAAGACACACATCGTGGGACCAGCACTGAGTGTTCCCCTAAGAGAGGTGCAGGAGTCAGAGAAAATGACTGAAGAAATGAAAGGACCAGCTCTAGGTGTCCATCTTAGAGAGCGGTCCGCCTTTAAGAGAGTTGGATATGACGAACAGTAGGTACCAACTCTTAAGCGGCCTTAAGAAAGGTGTCCAATGAAATGACTGTAGGGTGCTAGCAAGCTCTCCGGGGCGCTCTGGCAGCGGGGCAAAAAAATGAGGGAGAGCTTGCAGTCACGTCTCAGAAATTTGAATTCCTGCATCGAAAATTTCTTTGCAAAATGCTGATTGGCGGAGATGGCATTGGCACTGATGTCATTAGCCTTGGCGCGTGTTTGAAATAAAGTGTTGACAGGCTAAACACGGCTCATAGCTCGTGGAAAATGTCACCTTAGACTTGGCTTTTTATAACAACTGAGATTTTACTTCTATTCTTTTTTTCGCGCAGGCCATGCAGTGCATGAAGTATTCTAAACTTTGACGACACAAATTTTTTTTTTTTGGCCACTATTGAGTCTAACATTTAGAGGCCATGAGGCTCAGGTCTGTTTCGTGCATACATGTATCGAGTACAATTATTATTCCCTGTGGTTTGTTTCTAACAGAATTTGATCTCTGATGCAGTAAAGTATTGATTTTCTTTGACCACTTCTAAAGCCTTGAGCTTTTTATTGCGGCTAAATAACCTTTCACTAAAGGTTTTAGTTTCTTCAGGTTTTCTCAGAAATGCTATTTTTCACGTGCTTTTCAATGTTTGTTTACATTCCGCGCTCATTTCTGCTTCGTGCTGATTGGCAAATGTCTGACGGCTCAGTCGACGGAGAGCCACAGGGGGCACTTGAGGCAGAATTAAAAATCCTCAGACATGACTGCAAGCTCTCCCCCATTTTTCGCCCAGCCGCAAGAGGGCCCTGGATAGCTTGTTAGCAAGCATTAAATGACTGAAGCAAAGACCAACTGTAAGTGCCTATTGTAGCGAGGTGTCCACTTTATAGAGAATCAAACGAAATGATTGAGGAACAGCAAGGACAAGCTTTAGGTGTCCAACTTAAAGAGGTGTCTGCCTTATAAAGAGTCAAAGAAAATGACTGAAGAACAGCAACTACCAACCCTAGGTGCCTGTTATAGCAAGGTTTATGCCTTATAGAGAAAAATAAGGAAAGGGCTTAATAGAACGTTTTGGGGTGAGGGGGAGCTCTTACTTGAAACTAGGCATGAAAACGTCCATTTTTTTGGCATTTTTGGCCAAAATGGTAGGTTGTTAACAGCAAGAGGTAATGAAAAAATTAATTAGTGTCCAATGCAAATTTGAATATTAATGATGTTTATTTTTCAGGCTATTAACAATGCTTGACAATGCTTTGTTCATTGTTGTGGGGGTGGAGCCCCAAATCCACCACGACCACGGCCAAACCCACCTCTCTGTGAAAAAGAAGAAAATAATCGAGTGAGTATAAAAAGGAAAAAGGAATGTACTTCAATTTGTAAGCCACATCACAAAAAAGGAATAAAAGGGTTTACACTGGCTCTAGAAAAGCTTTTGTTAAAGACCTTTCAATGACGTATGTATGTAAATCACTCTGAAAAAAACTATGGCGTGGTTGCATCTGTATTAAACAGAGTGCCATTTACAGTGATTTTGTTACCTCTGTGTCCTGCATACCTGATGCATAAAAATGCCCAAAGACGCAAAATAATATTCATGGCATGCGTCCTGTAGGACGCAGAGAACAATTGATTGATTTGAAGATTTTGTGGTAGAATATCCTGTTTGTGTGATGTCTGTGGCTGTTGTTTAAAGATGCATTTTCATTTTAGTCGTTTGTGTGCTTTAAATACATGTGGAAGGACCATATTTTAATTTCAGTTAACTGTAATAAAGAGTTTTGGCATCTGGCTCCAGATTAAAGGGGCTATGTCAGCTGGAGAGCATGCGCACTGACATTATGCAAATTACTTTCAACTGTCAAAATTCTATTGTTTTTAATGCGTGTCTGACTTTCTCCATGCTCTCTGTCACATCCAAGGCTCCAAATTTTAGAGAGAAGTTAAAAAGTGAATTGGGTTTGCATAAGGGATATTTCGATAGAAATTATGGAACATTTCTTCTCCGGTTATGCTAGATCAAGAATAAAAGTGTTAAGACAATTTTACTTGTAGTTTTGAAGTAAAAACACATGCCATTCATAAAAATAGAGCACAAACAAAGAGTCAACAACAACATAATTGTCTTAGTCAACAAAATAAGTTTTATTTTATAAACAACCTACAAAAGACGCTAGACCAGAGATAAAGACCAAGACTGTTTCAAATCATTAACAATTAGACTTATCTGTCACTACTGATTTTATAATTTAGATGCTGACAGAACAAGAAACATCAAGTCTTTGTTTTGATCTCAGGGAAACACACATTGCTCGCACAAAATTGTTCGATCATGCCGAATCACTGCGATGTCTACAAAAACAGAACCAAGCATCATTGGTATACTACTCCACTGTAAGCAGTCCGTGGATAAAAAGGGAAAGTAAACTCTGCTATTTTCCAAAGATATGCTCAAACACCAACAGTTAAAAAACATGGCATTTACAGGATCTAACTCATACTGGTGCCTCTCTAAGTCCGTTGAGAACAATCTGGACAAGCAAACAGTCGTGTTTATCGTTGCCGTGAATCAAGATAAATACAAGAAGGAATCTAGCCCAATTTTATTAAGTTTCCTTCGCCAGAAGTTTAGTTTCGTCACGAAACTCACGGCCATGTTGTTGTAATCATTTAAAAAAAACAGCCACCGCCAACTTGATAGCCGCTTCATTATATGTCCACATACTTTGAGCACAAAAGAAATCCAAGAGTCAGCAGCCTCTAAAATAACTCAACCGAAAGGTTCTGTGAAGTATAGGGAAGATTCCATCAAAGATTCCATCACTTATTGTGGAGTAGCTGTCGTTAACTCTCTGCCATTACAATGGCCGCCAATAAGAGGACACTATAAATCCACGTAAAAAAATTCTACGGGCAAACATTCAAAATAATGCCAAAAAATTCTTCTGTAATCACCATAGAACGATTCTTAATACAAAACTTTGCTAACTATCAAACGTTGGCTGAGATTTAGACAGATAAAAACAGCCTTCCAAAATCTCTCACAGAACTTGAAAAAGTCGGGCCAGCTTTTCAAATTTGTTTTCATTGGCTCGCGCATGCGTCAGGAGTGACATAGCCCCTTTAACTGTCTGGTTACACAAAGGCCCAAGCATGAATCCTTGTTTTTTTCAACTGGGACTCATTGGTTATGGACACTAGGGGCTCATGATTTTTCACAAGGTGAATGCCCAGACTCACCATAACTATTTGTAACAAAATCACTGATTTAGCAGCCAGTTACATAAGTCCTGGCAAACAAACTTGTCGGTAACATGTTTCAAAAAGAATCTTTTAGTGAGTGGTGACCTTATTAAGAGGTCACTTGTGCTTTCCTTGGGAATGGCCAATTAATATACAAAAATCAAAAACCAACTCAAGAACAACTGAGTCAGTGACTCTTTGACCTAATGCATTGTACCTCAGTAAGCGCTCTGTTAATTAGACCACTTAACTTCTGTGTATAATTTATTTTTAGTTGCAATCTGCAAGGGTTTCTAATAGTTGAAGGCTTTTGATTTTGTTATTTAATTGTATTATTCATGTACTTGTCTTGCCCTGCCACCACTAGCTTTCCAGCTATTTGCAGGGCAAACTATCCAAACTTTGTATTTTTGTACAAAGAATAAAGTTCCTGTTGTTGTTGTTGTTGTTGTCAAAACACATAGACTGGATTGATGACACACACTTTGTAAGTTCTCAGGCCTTACGCATACTGTCCAATTACAATGTCTCAATAATGCTTAAATCACTGAGTGCTGCTAATACTCAATGACACCAGGGAAATTAGCTATAGCAAAGTTCAAAAATAAAACACTAGAACTATGAAAGACACAAAACTAACTTACAAATTCAGGATTAAAGTTTGAACCCGCGCCTCCTTTAGGTTCCATTCCTGGCCCAGCGGGACCACGTCTGTAAGCATCCCGGTCTGCAGAGTCTCCAGAGGGGGGGCCACGAGGCTGTTCAGGACCTGGAAGAACAGTGTGCGCAAGAAATTTTAAATTGGAAAAATTTTTAATTCACCACTTTCCACTACCCATAATATATATATACTCATTAGCCCCCAAAATTTTGCACAAGCAACTTCAGTTCCTCTTGGAATGACCATAATACCCAAGGGAAACTGGAAATAATGGTTATAAATGCAAAATTTGAGATGGGGTGGAGGGTGAGGCAGGGCCAGGCAAAGTGTATTGTGGGCAATGGAAAAGAAAACAAAAAAATTAAAAGAAACAGATAATGATTTAGAGATAGAAAATCCACAAAGTGGTTCTTCGCCTACCATTCCTGGTTGAATAGAGATTTGGAAATACTAGTTTTTGAGAAGGGAAAACCAGAGTGCCTGGAGAAAAAACTTCTTACAGCAAGGACAGAACCAATGGCAAACTCCACCTGCATGAGGCATCGACACTGGGGTTTGAACCCAGGCCACATTGGTGGGAAGAGAGCGGTCTCAACACTGCGCCACCCTAGCTCTCTGAAAGCGGTGAATGATACCACTTTGTACAGTGTAGTACTGTGAAAGAAGTGTTAAAGCTCATTTCCAATTACAACAGAGTCAGAATAGAAGTGAAAAGAGTTTCCATCCCACTTATGATCTTGTGAAAACCATATTGTTGGCATAAGGAAAAAGGAATGCGATTGATCCACTGTTCTACTTCTGCCCCCCAACAAAATAGTTTTTACTAGATCATTAGTACAGTAAGAGACAGTGGATTTTTTAAGGGGGAGGAGGAGGGGGGGGGGAAGAGGGACGGGGTTGGAATAAAAATGAAATATACTCCAATGTCAAACATTGTATCAAATCTGTTTACAAATGATCATCTTGGCTGTCTCAACACAGAAACTAATCAGGTGATCCCGAAAATTCAGATGATTATAAAATGTTTTTAACTCATTAAACCCCAAGAGTGATCAGCATCAAATTTCTCTCCGTAATATCAAAGAGGTCATGAGAAATACAGACATGATCTCAGAAGATGAAATTGCTAGATATTTTATCACCTTCTCCCCACTACTTCTGTAGGAAATGAATAGGGACAACAAATAAAAATTCAAATTTTGATCTTAGGGTTTAAAGGGTTAAAAGAGAGTACCTTTAGGTCTGGGTCTAGAGGTCTCTGTCCTGGCCTGTCGGCGAAGGGTAGCTGGAACAATCTCAGGGGGGAGATGAAGGTAATCTCTGAGATATGTGATACCTTAAATCAAGAGAAAGACCATGAATAACATGCAAAAACAACAACAACAGAACTTAAAACTGCTTCATATGAAGGGTAAGTGCATACCATCATTTGTGAGGTACCAGTAGAAATGCTGCCAGGCAAACTTCTCCGTGACATATCCACGAGACCTTAGTGACTGAGAAAGCAAGAGAGTCAATAGAAACGTAAGCACACACTTATGGTACAACTCAGAAAACTGAATGGAATGTTATTGTGTTTTTATATTTTGACATCTGTTCTTATATTAATTTTTCAAATGAATACTCATGATACTTATTCAAGAATGCGTAACAGAGAATACTTAACTGAAACTGATATCCAACAAACTTTAAGATGCAGCACGGAACATAAAATAATAATTTATCAAGTACTTGTACAAAAAGCCAGGCAAATAGAAACAGCACAAAAATGACAATCAAAAATATTAAGCAAACATTTTAGACAGAAATTGTCCTCTCAGAACACTAGAAATGGCATTTCAGAGCATCAACACTTTTGAGGGAGCATGCCCCCACACCCCACTAGTGGTTCATCCCTTTGGTGCTTGCTTGATTTGTTGGTGATGAAAAAACATCCCAACTGAACATACTCAAAACCTTGAACAGTCTGGATTGGTCATAACAAAATAAACATTCCTGAAATATTTCAGGTGTTCACAGTTTTCTTGATATGACAGTAATACCCTTAACACTTTCTCCGTACATTTTGGGGAAATTAAGAAACAGTATTGGCACTTTTTTCCAGCCTTGAGCTTAACTTTTTCATCTTCATTACAATAATGGTCTTTATTTTATTTTTACTTTATACAACAAAGGGACAGACCTAGTTATCTGGCAGAGACTTTTAGGTAACCTATCCCTGTAAAAAGGCATGACAGTAGTCCAGAATGCAGTTTTATAACATTTTATTTCATAAGTATTCATCTATGTGTAGAAGGTTTAAGCTTGAGCTTATGTACCTGCATAGCCTTTATAACTTGAAGATTTGGAACAGCCTCGATATCGGGATGTTTTGGGTTGTTGAAGTCCTTTTTCGCCACTGCAACACCCTCTTTAAAGAGGTATTCGTATATTTGAACCTTGTTTTTCTTGGGAATCAACATCCTACAAAGGGCAAACAGTCGCTGTATAAACGATTATTGCGACTCGAAACACCTCAAGACATGACTTAAACTCGTGCACAAAAGCAGAAGTAGCAAATTATTCCTAAGAATTTTTACTGCTGCAACTTTACCTAACAGAGTTTAAATAAAAACAAGAAAATAGTCCTCTATGTGCTTGAAGACAAGTGTCCCTACGTAACAAGCTAAATAAAGGCTTACTATTATGGTAAAAACAAAAATATGGAAAATTTTAGATAGAATACAGTTTCAGCATTTATTTTTGACTTAGACATCAAAGGCTGACAACTCGATGGCTAAAAAATCTTGTGGATTGCAAAGACAACACTCACTTTTATTCTCCAAGATGGCGATCGAAGCGATAGAGAACGAAATGAGCATGCGCTCAGTCTGATGGCCTTGGTGGCCTTGGTGGCCAGGCCTTTTTCGTTTACCGAGAATCACGCAGCCCGATCCACGCGTGAGATGCGCGCGGCTCCTTGCGAGATAAATCTCATTTATGTCAGGGAAATAAGAAAAAAAGTATGAATATTGATTCTCGGGGCTGATGTCACGGTCTTACAGTAAAGTAAGTAAGGAAGAAGATACCACGGCCATAGTTTCATCACTTCGTGGCTCAAATCGTAAATGGCCAAATGAAAAATGTAGAGTTTTCTCTAGCCACAGACGGTTACAGCGTCCTCTTAATAAATCGACCACAATTTTCCACGGTCTACACTCTTATAGACCACAGAAAGGACGTCATAAAATGTTCAAAAACTTAAGTGGATCCACGGGCTGCAGGCGAGTGGTTTCACTGCAAAATTTTGAACATTTATGGCATCATTTCTATAGTCTATAAGAGTGCAGACCATGGAAAATTGTGATCGATTTGTTTTTTACAATAACGTTTTTTTTTTTACGAAAAACCAAAAACAAAGAAGCTGCACTGCGTGACATGATGCGTCATTAGTGCGCTATACTCTCATAGACCATAGCTCTGGACCAATCAGCACGTGAGGATTCATTCAGTTCTTGTAAAAAAATTAATAGAACTTGTGTGCTAAATGTAATTTTTATTGTTAAATACCCACAGTAAGGGAGAGGGGCAGTTTGGGGTTAAGGTTAAGAGGCATAATTGAGTGATTTTTTTTGGGTTTGAAATTTTCCATTCCAGGAATTGAGAAAGAAATGTTTAAAAATCGCGGAGCATACAATAAATTAAAAGTCCTCTACAATTTTTCTTCTTAATGCATTCTTTCTAATGCAGTAATTTACTGTCAATTTGTCTGTCAGGACTCTTGTAACTGGCTGCTACATAAATGGTGTATTCTTAGTAGAGCACTGTCATTTAACCGCCGCCTGATTAGCTCAGTTGGGAGAGCGGGAGGGCACAGGTTCAAACCCCGGCCGGACCAACACTCAGGGTCTTTAAATAACTGAGAAGAAAGTCCTGCCTTTGTAATGATATTTGCAAATGGTTAGACTTTCTAGTCTTCTTGGATAAGGACGAAAAACCGTAGGTCCTGTCTCACAGCACTTTCACTGATTTGTTCTCGTGGGACATAAAAGAACCCACATCACTATTCGAAAAGAGTAGGAGTCGTAGACCCCAGTGGTGTGGCCAACCTTTACGGGTTGTGGGATTGGGTAGGGATGGCACCTCGCATGGGACCTGAGTCCCGTTCATGCACAGCCTGTGTCCAGAAAAGCTGGTAAATAAATAAATAATTTAGTATATCTCTATGTTATTTTCTTACAACATAGCAAAATGTTAATCTATACACAGAATTTCTAAGTAATTAGATTGCCAGTACTCTTTGCCAAGGGATTAGTGAGTCGTGTGTCATTCTTTCTTTCACGCGGGATTGACACGCGCGTACGCGACAGTAGCTCGCTCCGTGATCGCTACTTTTTGTTTTAAATACTTTATAATATCTACTCATTCAAGTCATTTATCGATTTGCTAATCTACGAGACACACTGGGCAGCGGATTTTCGACTTCTATGTCCTTCAAATAAGTCCACTGGCGATCACAGCGGCATTCAATGCCGCATTTTTCTGATCCACACGAGGGACACGGGAAATGACATCCCGGGCAGTCTGTATCCTGACAATCACAAACATCTCTGCCGTCAGACATTCGAACGCCTGATCGATCATGAAATGTCTGTTTCTGTGGTCGCTTTCGTTGTCGCTGCTGTCTTCTTCTTGTTCGGCTCGTGGGGTCGCTCCGGTTCCCCTTGTGCTTATCTTTCATATCCAGCCGTTTTAGTTTCCTCATTTCTCGTCTGCTTGTGTCTGGGTTAAAGTCTTTAAGCATCGGTCCTGGATTTCTAAACTTCAACGAATTAAGCAACTTTTCTGTCCAGGAACTTTCCGAGCTAGTTGAACCAGTTCGAGTAACTTTTGCAGGATCTTGTAGAGAAAATCCTGAAAGAACCGGCGTTTCTTCCTCAAAAGCAGAAACACTTGCTTCTCCGACCAGCGGCAATTTCAAAGTTTTCTTCTCACTTTCTTTAGATATTTCTCCTGAAGACATTCCAGGATTAATATTTTTTAAAATTTGAGATGCTAACTTTCCTTCTTAAAGCAAGAATTGTACGGAAGATACGTACTTAATGTAGACACATTGATAAATATGGCCGCCATTTTTATGAAACTACCTTACCCAGTCCTCCTCTGAATTCTTAAAAAAAAAATTACTTTCGAGACTTCCTGTAAGGGGGTTTCCTTTTCCGGTTCAATTCTTATAACAACAAAAATTTCACTTGACCAGCCCTTCCAACACTTGTTACATTTTAATTATGTCTTAGAACAACCCTTTCTTGTAAGCAGGGAACTTTATTTTATACACAGTCAACAAAGGATCGTGGGCTGGAAACAACAACTTCGGTTCTGCAGAAATGAGGAGTTTGCAGATATTTTCTAAATTTTCCAATGAATTTTCCTGAAAAACTTTCGGAGATAAGCCAAATTTTGTTTTATGCACCTACCTGAAAAATAGTTGCTAGGACTTCCTAAAACAGGGATTTCTTGTTCAGGACACAACAAAGTACTGGAAAGTGTTGATTGGTCAGAAGACAATGATTGCTTGTTTAACGCTCATTTCCGGACGTGTTGCCTAGCTGTGAAAAGCCAATTTGTTAAAAATTTATTTCCAATGGTTCACGACGACAGTTCCACGCAGCAAATAGTGGTAGGAGAATGTCTTTTGTATTTATTCGCAAACGTAGAAATGTTAATGAATCTACGTCAAGATTTGAATTGACGTATTTGGCTTGATTTGATGCAGGTTCGACGTTCGAACTCCACATTCGACGCGGGCAATAAATCGATCACCATGAAAGAGGTTCGTTGTTCATTATTATTGCGTAAATATTTCCTTGAAATCTTTATCAGCGCTTAATAACTATAGTTGCGCTAATTTTAAATGATACTTACTGTGGGTTAATTTACGAAACGATGCTTGTTTATAATTCAGAGAGACGAGGCTCCAAAGGAAATCGACTTGAGAGAGAAGCCTGAAGCACGCGAGGCCTTGAAAGAGGGAACAGAAGATCAGGCAGGACTGTTGTCGAAAATTTCAGGTGGCGTGTATAATAAAGCTGCTTCAGTTGTCGGTGGAGTTGGCTGGGTCGCTGGAACAGCATTGTCGACCACATTTACGGCAGTATCGGCCGTAGGGGGAGTTGCATTAACGCCATTTAGGAAATCCCCAAAGGACAAATCTGACTAAGGGCTCGAGTCGACAGTACAGTAACACGAAACGGCGGGCGAATGCCGATAATCTAGGAGAACTTATTTTCTATCACTATCTTCAGGGACTGAAGAAGGAGATATTTACTTTTATGAGTTCTTGTCGATGAAAGTCTTCTTATTCCACAATGGGACCTGATGGTAAATGTAAACTTGACGAAGGCCCTACTCATCAATATTGTATTCTGTAGGAGAACGATCGTATTTATTGCCTTTCTTTCAAATCAAATACCCTTATTTTTCAGGCTTTTCTGTGGTTTTACTTTAGAATAGTGTAGTATAAAAGTACGTGATAATATTGAGTCGGTACATAACTTATCAGTTATTTTTCCTTTTTGAAAACTGCTTGTTCAGCTGTTGTACGTTGCTCATTAGCATTGAACGTTTTGTAATTGTTATTGCCATGCAATGGTGGTTTTTAGGGTATGGCAGCAATAATTTTATAGGAAAGAACTAAATTCGTATTCTTTGCGAGAATTAATAATTATTGTAAATATAAAATATGTTTTATAGTTCCCTTTCAAAGGAATAACAATAATATATTACATAGCGTGGGTGTCACTTGCAATATAGATTAAAGTTGTTGCAAAACAGATTCTTTTTTCTTTAGATATTGGAGACGTTCATTTCCATTTTCAATGTTTTTACATGTAAATCTTCCTTCTGAGGTTTCACCACATGTGTAAAGGGGGATTTTAAAATAGCTATCTGTAATAATGAACTGACTTTGGACACTAAGCTTCACTAACAAATGGACAAGTTCTTTAGTGGGGAAATATAAGGGAAAGAAGATACAAGATTCCCCCCTTTCTGCTCCACACCATATTTTCGGATATCATTTCTACCTCTCTTCACAGGAATCATGCTTAACTACAAAAAAAAAACAACAACAACAAATCCAAGCACAACTGTTTATTTGTCGTGATGTCTATACTGCACAACTACATGTATGTACAAGGGAGAGAATAATATTATTGTCGAGGCCAGGTAAAAGAAAGCTAATAATTAAAAGAATTTTAAAATCTACACAAGTAGATGATGAAAATCAACAGCTCGAGCAGGGATGTAGTTAGGAGCTGGCTGCCAGCTAATGTCACCAGCTGAGGTCTCCCTTCTGGAGTAGGGACAATTAGGAGATTTTAGACGGTGGAGGACGGAAGGCTTTCTTCCCTTTTAGCTTCTAGTTAGCCTGCCAGCAAGCTCTCTGGGGCACTCTGGTAGCGGGGCAGGAAAAGGAAGGAGAGCTTGAAACTACGTTTCTGGAATTTGAATTCCACCTCCAGTTCCCCTATGGCTCCCCATCAATTCAGATTTCCACCAATCAGCGCAAAGCAGAAACAAAACAAACAAACAAACATTGAAAAAGATGTGCCAAGGATAATGACTTCATTACTAATGTCATCTCTGCCAATCAGCATTTAGCATAGACTTTTTTGATGCAGATATTCAAATTCCAGAGACGTAGTTGCAAGCTCTCCTTCCCTTTCCAGCCCCGCTGCCGGAGCGCCCCGGAGAGCTTGCTCGCAGGCTAGCTTCTAGTAAAAAAGCCTGCTTAGGTTTCCTTGAGCTACATAATCATTTATGACCAACGTGGTTCATTTCAAATCCCCTACTAACACAAAAAACTATCTAAAGAAAACTATTGTCATTTCAGTGAATCAGTCCCAGAATTTACAACATTTTGTGGGCAAGACCTTCTTTTTCCTTTCTGATTTAAACTACTCTTATAATCACAATAAAAAATATGGCAGGGCTGTCATTAGTAGCTGGTTCCTGCAGCAACATTAGCCAGCTACTTTAAGTATTAATATGAGTCAAATGTAACAAGATAATATGGGAGCATTTGTAGCATGAATGACTTGCTACTTTGCCTGAGAGACCAACTACTTAAAACATTAATGACAGCCCTGCATGGAGAGTTAATGACTGGGGGGAGTAGATACTTTTTGGTCTTAATCATTCCCTCTTACTGGAAATTTCAGTTTTGGTTAGTTACCACCCTTGTAAAAATGTTTGGTGTTAAGAAGCTTTCCCCCTTAGATTTTCAAATGAGCCTCCACAGGATGGGTGAGGATATTTTCTGCAACCACACCGAGACTCTTTGAAAAGAAAAAAATCATTTTTAGAAAGGGCATTTACACACTACAGACATAATCATTCTCAGACAGGTCATCTGTTGAATATTCTGTGTCATTGCAGTTAAAAAGATAATTCATCTTTGTGTGAAGACTGGATGAGGTAAATTTTGGACAAATAATCCATTTGAGTTTATCAGTCTGTTTATCTGTCTGTCCAGAAGGATTCTAATGGTTGATCATGAAATATATGTTTCACACTTGACATGTACAAATTATAGAAAAATGAACAACTTTTTAAAGTGACATGGATTGTTTTTTAACTCAGCTGATTATAAACATTGATCAGTTCTGTACACCTACAGATCATCTTGTTTTCTTTCCTTTCTATTCATTTTTTTAAAAGAAGATATTTATGACACAAATATAAACAATGTAAAAACAACTCGGTATTTTATAGATGTTGTTAAAATTATCATGGTGAGCTGTGTCCTCTAAAATTAGCTATAGCTTCATGCCCTGGTGTTGTTTTTATAAGTCTAAGCTTCATAGTGTCAACTGCTTTCTCTCCAACTCCATCAGCAGTGATCTCTACATTGTAATTATTCCCCTGTAACAAAAAAAAGAATGCCATACTAGCAATTAATAAAAGCACACAAAGTTAAAATACAGTCTAATGCCGTAAAAATGAACACCGAGGGGGCCATAGAAAGTGTCCGTTTTAATGCCTTATAATGAGGTCATGCTTTTTACATTGAAAATACAACTTCTAATTGAACAAAATACTAATGAAACAAAACAGGACATTAGCATCATGAAATTAAACATCTCTAACCTTTACAAAGCCATCATCACAACTGAATGTTTTTTATTTTTAAAAAAGAACGGTTTATTTCAGCTCACAGTTGATAATAAAGTGTCTGCATTACCAAGGTTGACTTCAGATGAGAATCTGTTAATTGGGCAAGCAACAAGTGTCTACTGTTTGCATTAGTGGGTGTCCATATTAAGCTGGTTGAAGTTCAAGAAAATGTAAGGGCTTACCCCAGCGACGAAGAAAAGTGTCCACAATAGAAGAAGAAGAGTAAGGTGTCTGTATTAAGCAGGTGTTTGTAAACCAGGGTTTGACTGTGATCATTGCAATAAATTAAATTTATTAGCTTTGGCAGAGTTGATGAGGATTGCTACCACACCAGCTAGTGCCATTATCACTACAGGAGACAGACTTACCAGCTGTAAGGTGGCTAGAAATAATCGGCAAATTTCAAATGATTCCTGAAAATTAATAGATCATGACACAGTGAATTTAGAGAATAGAAGTTCATTAATATTACCTTATTTAAAAATATTATTTTTTAAAGTACTTTTGCAAACTAAAAATTGCCCCAAGGTAACGTGTACATTACCTTTCCATCAGCTACATCTTTGAAGTGCTGATTAGATTTTCCTAAAAAAGAACACCAAACAAAAGAACAAAAGAAATTTAACAAAAGGGAAAAAATGGTCATGTAACACACCACAGTAATGTTTATTACTTTGAATGCTAATTTTGTAACAGTACACTCTTAGTAATTTTTTAGTCTCCTGTCAGTCTTGAAGAGGAAAATTTGTTAGAGTTTTCAGTTTAAACTGCAGTGTTGATCACCAATGTAACCCCACTAATTCAGCACATTGCTCAGGCTGAGGGTTCCCTGACTTACCAGAAACA